AGTGTTTATTAAGGCCTGTTTAACAGTATTGAAGAAAAGTTAAGTCTCTGTGAGTAGAACTTGAAATTGCAGAAATGCTTCAAACTCAATCAATTTGATTCTTACTGTGTACAATGCTCTTTTCTGACCTGTTCAGAAGCTGTTGCACAGTATTCTGATTTTAAGTGTTTTCAGTGCTTCTATCTTATCTGCATAGAAGTTCATCAAGTCACAGTAGTAGTTGAAGAGGCTGATGACTCTCTTCAGCTTCTTAAGAGTTATAGAGAAGGTCAGATTTATGATAGCAGCTATCTTCTTCTTCTGAGTGAATATTCTCAGTCAGTCAATGTAATGACTCAGTAAACACACAGAGAGATAGATAAAATAACATTTAAATAAGAATATCATCACTCTGAACATCTCAAGAGTGATGAATACTGTCTGCATGTAATAGAGATGATTATTTAGTAAATGTAAGAAGATGATGATGTTATCAACATAGATCAAGACAAATTATTACAAGAATTGTGTCAGTATCTCTTTCATACATTGCTGGAAGAATTCAGGTGAGATTGTCAATTTTATTATAGTAACTGTAAAGTGTTCAAGCTCTTGATACAGTGTGATGAAGATGGTTTTGAAGTGATCAGAATCTTCTATGAACTGTTGAAAGAAGTCTTGATAAATATTCATTGATAAGAACACTATGAAACTGCTCAATGACTGCAGAACATTCTGCTGTGTTAACAAAGAATATGTATTTAAAAGCAATTACAGATTAATCTTCTACAAGTTCACAATCACACATGATTTCTCTTTATATCAGATTATGAATGCAGGGGAAGTGATAGAGTTCTTAATCTCAAGAGAAACTCTCTCAATTCTCTCATTTTAAACAAGCAGATTCAAGATTTAATCAGCTGCTTTCTAATCTCTCTGTGAGAGAGAGTATAATCACTGCTTCAGTCTAAAAAAATTGTCTTTATTAATGAATCATAACAGCATCTTTACATTATCTGAAAATAATCTCAGATTGAGATCAAAAAGTTTGTGATATTAGTCAATAATCTTCTGAATTATCTTATAATCACTCACTGCTCAGTGATCTGATATCTGTGCTTTGACTTGCTTAGTAAGAGTGTTCACTGTGAAAATCTGAAGAGAATTGTCATAATCTTCTATATCTGTCAATAGAAATAATTCTGTGTGTGAGATAGAAAACAGAAACAACTTCTCAATTGAATCATTATTAATAATATTGATATCTGTGAAGTAGATGATGATTCTTTTTTACTTTCATAATAGAGAAGAGTTTCTATTTACATAGATAGTGTCTCTGATAATCTTGACATTTATAGCATATTTCTCATGAAATATAATACACTTATTATGAATATTGATAATGACTCTCACTGATGATAATATATCATTTACTATAATTATATTGCATCTGAGATATTGCATCAGATGAAATTCACTCTTCAGATGAAAAAGAGCCTCATTATTCATCTTTAGAGTGAGAGCTGTTGATATGAATAGGTTCAATTCATTTGTATCTGAATCAACTTCTTAAATATATACATATCAGTTATGTAGCAGAGCAGCTGACTAATATTAAGAGAAGAATAAGCTTACTATCACTGCATTAATAAGTGATATACTCACATCTGTATCAATGCAAACTGAGAGATCATCTCAGAGAGTATCAATGAAAATGATAAGAAAGATGTAGAGTAAGTACTGCAGTTCACTAACATATTCTCAATCACTTATGAGAATATCACATATCATGATAGTATATATATCAGTATTAAACATACTCAGATAATTATCTGAGAGAGTGTCTGTGAATAAAACAGATCTCTCAGTATCTGACTCATTATCTATTTTTTTAACTCACTATTGAAATCTAGACTAAGATTTAGTTATAATAGATCATCATTCTCTTCTCTGTTATTCTTTTATTCAACTTGATTCACTAGATTCTCTTTTCTAAGACAGTGATTGATGTAATGAGAGCCTCTGCATATATAGCACTCTGCTGCAGATACTGATAATTTATTCTCTGTATGTCTAATCAGCAGTCTGCTCACTGTGAGAGTACTCATGAAGAGAGTCACTATGAAGTTCACAGCAGATACAGATAACTTAATAGTTTTCATATATAATCTGATCAAGAAAACTTAATAAGAATGATGATTATTATTTTAATCAAATTATCTGAAGCCTTGTATATATTCAGTGAATTGAGTTCTTCAATCAGTTTAAGTGTATCAGATAACTGACTTATTATCTCTAATTCTTCTTTAGAAGTTATTCAGACACTCAGTGAGAATAAGAGATGTAATCAGAGATAGATTTAACTTTAACTCTTTTCATAGAAGTCTCTTCATCATTGTGAAGTCAGAGATTGAGACAGCTCACAGCAAGTTAATCTTTCACAAGATATACAGTGTCAATGACAGCTTGTTCAACTTCTTAAAGAAGAAACACAGTTCTTGAGCTTTTATTCAAACTTCTTTTTTAGATAGCTGAAATTCTCATCTCAGCTTACTGATCATGATAAGAAGAGAAGTACTCATATTCTTTCTCATTTTTATAGACAGACTATTGTATTATTCTAACATCTGTCTCTTTAAGTATAATAAAAAGATCTGAAGTACTGCATCTTCTCTCTTCTGTATAATAATAAACTTTAGATGACTGATGAACACTATTACATCTACTTCTATCAGATTAAACAGTATAACATTACCTACTCTCAGTTGTATCAGATATTCTTATTCATTATCTTCAGATAGCAGATCACATCTCTGATCTGTCATAAGAATGAACAGAATCTATTATCTAGTAAGAAGTCATTATAATCACAGATGAGATAGATCTTCTTCTTTAAGAGTACTGTGAGTACTTACTCTCTGTGAACTCAATTCTCTTCTATGTTATAGATGAAGTGTGAAATGTCTGTCTCTTATGTGAAATTGAATCTATCTCTTATTATATTTGAGTGATGAGTTCTGTCTCTGAACATATCTCACTCAGTATTACATAACTCTCTTGAAATTGCAGATGTCTGCAGAACTCTAGAGAGTGATTTAAAGTCTTCATCAAATAAGGTATTCAGTCACTGAGAGAATTCAGTGAGAAGATTATCATCTTCAGCTTGAATCAGTTGTTTCTACTACTGTTGATTTTTATACTACTGCTCTTATCTCTGAGCAGTGAGTGCTGCTTTCTTTATATAAAAGTTGTTTTATATCTCTGTCAGTTAGCTTCTTTCATCTGTTAAATACTGAAGATTATTCTGAAGCTTGTTAATATACTCATTAATAAGAGTGATACACTTATTCAGCTGATTCTGCTGCTGATTGAGCTGATGCTTCTGCTCATCTAACTCACTTTCTCACTGAATCAGCTGAGACTTCAATTACTTCAACTCTTTAATTATATTTAATACAGTGACTTCATCAGAAGAGGTATGACTCTGATCATTAAACTCAATATAGCTTGAAGCTATTAACTCTCTTTCTTTCATATACTTTGTAGCCTCTGTATAAAAAGTCTGTAGTTAAGAACTAATGACATTCTTTCATTCTGTGACAGAAACTGAGTCAAGAATCATCTTAACATTATTATAATGTCTGATGAACACTCTCATAAAAATACTCTCTATCTTAATATAGTTGTATAATGTGACTTAATTCTTGATACTATTATATTATTCATTTGTGTTCTGTCAGACCTCTGTGATCATAACAGTGTGTTTCTCTGCTACTGTCTATAAGTAGATATGCTCAGTGTCAGATTTCTGAGCAGGTTTACAGAAAGCTTACTTCTCAGTGAACTTATCTGACCTGGTGAAGCAGAGTGACTGACAGAAGCTGCTTCTAGTGAGATGTCTGTTCTGCTTCATTGCAGTGTGTAATAGATGTGTATAGAGTGAGTCTATTACAACTGAACTGATTATCAGCTGCAGTGATGAAAAGATAGAGTAGTTAATCAGACTGATCATCAGTTGACTGAACTTTGTTATCTACAACTCAGATTAATCATCAGTATTACATCTTCTCAAAGACAGAAAGAATATAGAGAAATCAATCAGATTAATTATCAGTTAACTGAACTTTATTATTTATAATTCAGATTAATTATCAGTGTTATGTCTTTTAAAGATGAAGTAGAATCTAAGAGAACTGAGAATCTCATTCTTAATAAGACATGCTATTAAATTGTAGTGTACACTGCTATATAGAGTCAGATATAAGAATAAAACTTGTCTTATTCTTTAAGATGAAGATGAACGGACACTTCTATATATATATATATATACATGCTTATTTATTTATTGTGATTGACTTTTACAGAAGAAAGAAGTGAAAGTCTCAGAAAGAAAGAGATAGAAGCCTCAGAAAGAAAGAGACAGAAGTCTTAGAAAGAAAGAGACAGAAGTCTCAGAAAGAGACAGAAGTCTCAGAAAGAAAGAGATAAAAGTCTTAGAAAGAAAGAAATAGAAGTCTTAGAAAGTAGCAAGAGTGAATATTATAATTTATATAATTTACACTGAATTGATTATTAACTGATTTTCAATCAATTATTAATTACTTAAATATACAGATTAAATTTATTTTTATTACTATAATTAATTAATAATTAATTTAGAATTAATTCAAAATCAATTTAAAATTAATTTAAAATTAATTATTAAATATTTTTATCTTGATATATTTTAAAATTCTGTAAAATATCTATTTATATTCTATATGAATTTATCTATTCATTTAATTGATTATGAATCAGCTATACATACTTTGATTGATTAATAAGCTGAGTAGATGAATGAATTGAAAGGTTGAAAATCAATTATCAACTGATTATTACTGTATTGTGCAAGGTCAGGGTCATGATTATGTAATGAGGTCAAGTGGCGCACTTAGCGAGGTCAAGTTTTCTGCATTCACGTTTTCTTGTGGTTGGCCCAATGAACGTGAGTATTATTAATATTCATGACGGCACCACCCACCGCCCGTCATGGCTCGTATAGTTTACGTAACTTTGGTACTGGTGGTAACAGTGGTAATCTGGTAATCAGCGTACGGGGCGCTCCTCATACCTGCCTCTATGGACTGACTGACTGACTGCTTTTTGCCTCTGGGCGAGCATCTTCTTTCTTACTCAACGACACACTCACTCTCACTCTCATCTTTCAACCTCTTTTTTTTGTCCTCCTTCGCATCGCTCTTCTTCTCTTCTTCTCTTCCCCCGCGACCCTTTTCTTCACTCTCTTCTCCAAATTCATCCTCACCCCCATCCTTACCTCTCCCTACTCTCCCCCTCTCGACGCTTCTCCTACCTAACCTTTGCGAGCTTTTCACTAAGCCTCGTTGAGTCTCGTTGCTCCTTCAACTACCGAACTTCCCTCCACTCCAATATTCCTCCTCTCCGAGTTCCCGAACTCACGTTTCGTGTGATGGCTGCCAATTCCAACATATCCTACATATTCTAAACTCCCATTTACAACAATTCTGTTCCGCTGAGCCTCATTCCTTTCTCCTGTTGGACCTGTGACGGGACATTTCACCCTCGCATCGATCTTTTTTTGTTTTTGTTTTTTTTATCCTTTCGTTCTCTCGTTGCCGGATCGATTCGCCTCAGATGTCGCTATTCTAAAGAGCCCACTACCTTGTGAAGTCGTTTGAAGACCCCAGGGCTCGTCGTCCGTCGACGAACCCTTGTTAACACTTGGGAAGTGGTGGACGTGTAGACGGTTAGTCTGCGCTGGTGTTTTTTTAGTCCTTGTTGGAAATTGGGAAATCAGTTTTTTGGGGTGCTAATAACATTCTCTCAAGACGTCGCCTCCTTCAAGTCGTCTACCCCCACCAGCCCTGGACGGGATCTATCTTTTCCATCATGCCGTCGTTCTTCTCCTCCACTCTTTCTACCTTCCCTCCCACTCCACCTCATGTTATTGGCAGCCGTCTCGAATCAGAGACGCCGTTCTATCAGCAAAATAATTCTGCCTATGCCATGAGATTTCCTCAAAACGGCTATGATTTTATCGAAAAGTTCTCGCAGACCGCCAACGCCAACTACCAAAACCATGGCCCGATGACTACGCACTCGCAGTCATTACATCCGCTACACGGAGGTCGGGAAATGGGTTCTTCTCAGACGATGGTATCGCACCAGGCCCTTCCACAAGCCATCTATGGCACGGTGAACCCTCCTATCCTGCCTCCCATTCGTTCAAGCACGAAGCTTCCCCCGATGGACAACGCGATTCCTCCGCAGTATCGACGACAAGAAAAAGTCAATCACCAGGACTCACGACCCAAGGAGGAAAAACCGACCGGAGGCGTGGCGGCCCACCTGGACTACGAGATGGGTCAGATGTCGGATTTCGTGGCGGAAATGGCCCAGGGAATGTATGCTTTGTATATCTCCAAGATTGTGCTTGCAGATATTGACTTCGCTCGAAGTGTTTACCCAGGAACAACAGTCCCGCCCCAATTCCGAAAATACGTCTCACAGATTCTTTCTTCAACTCGTCTACCTAGCTCCACCATTCTTCTAGGCCTCTACTACTTGGCATGTCGAATGCGGATGCTTTCAGCAGCTGATGTCTACAAGTCTGGAAGCTCTCAGGTCTACCGCATGCTTACCACCGCTCTTTTGCTTGGAAGCAAGTTCCTCGACGACAATACGTTCCAAAATCGCTCTTGGGCGGAAGTTAGCAATATTCCCGTTGCGGAATTGAATGCGATGGAATTGGAGTGGCTTTTCGGGTTTGAATGGAACATCCATAACCGTATCCACAACAAGCAAGACGGGTTCATGTCGTGGAAGGCACATTGGGATACATGGCGCGCAAAGGCTGATGCAAGGGCGAACGAGTCTCGCAGTAAACTTGCTCCCATTGATACAAACATCCAAAGACAGCATGCATCTCAACAGAAGGCGGCGCTTCTGTCCCCCGATGGGCCAATTCCCCCTCAATATCAGAGGGGTGCGTGGCTAAGCTCTAATGCTTCAGATTACTCTCCGCCTTCAGCGCCTCATAGCGGTCCTAATACGCCTGATTACTACCGTCCTGCCCCTTGGGCATACAGCAACCCGCCACCTCCGTATTCTCGTGGCTGGGTTGTCCCTCAACAGTACATTCCTCCGGCTCCCCGATCGCAACCGCCATCCTATCACCACACGCCTTCCTATACACACGCCTTCTCACCAACGGGTTGGACTGGACATGGATCGTCCTGTGGCTGCTTGTATTGTGCGAAACACCAAGAGCACTACCTACATACAGTAGCTTTTGGCATTCAACCTGTTGCCGGCTAATCTACTCTCTGTCCGGGATATCGGGTTTATTCTCTCCTGCCTAATTATCGTGGCATGTCTTTCGATCGAGTTCCCTTGGCAGACACTCCTCATATACCCGTTGAGAGCCCGCATTTCGTTGCGACATTCTTTCATTTCCTCGATCGTCATTACCGTTCGATCCTTTACGTTGTTATTTTGATACATTCGGTTTACGATCCCATATACCGCGCGATTATTACATTACTCCCTGTCAAAAAAACATCACTTGATTTCAGTTCTGTGCAATCGATCCGAAAAAAAATTTCCTTGTTTTAAAAAAAAATACATCAGGAGCACGGTGAAAAGCGAGCGAGCATCTAGAGTATCTAATCGATCTATATCCATCTCCTCTTCCTTCGGTCTCCGACTTCTAATACTTTTTCTCAACCGAACTGTCCTTCGAGACTACCCAAAATCGCGTTACTAGCTCAAAATTGAGCACAAAAACAGCCTGATGTTTTGCCTGCCCTCTTTATTTGCGCTTTGCGGATGATTTACGATTTTATTTTGCTCTCGTATTTGAAATCTATTCTCCTTGTGCGCTTTTGTCATCCCTCCTTATTCCTTGATCGTTTCTTCTCTAATACCTGTTCACATTAGCCAGTTGGGCGCAATAGTGTGGTGAACCTCCCATTTTTTCCCCGTCAAATTTCTCTTTGCCCCTTAGTTATTTTTTTTTATTTTTTTTTTTTGCCCCTTTTCTTTTCAAAACGATTTACTGAGATTGATACGATTTTTCGTTTGCATTTTCTGTTCTTGCTCAATTTTTCAACTTTCGAACTGGCGTTACTTTTCTCGCCCAAATTTTCCTCCTTTGTGAACTTTCTGTGGATTCGTCGAGCACATTTTCTTGTTTCCCCATCTGCGCAAAAATTTGGTCCAGTTTCATACTTTTTATCTGCTATTTTTGTATTGATTGCGTTCCATCAGGAATTTTTCGACCGGGGGTGGGGTATCAACTGCAGATATTGCGTGTTACTCATTTCTGACGTCTGGGCTTTGTTGTTGTCTGCTGAGTAGTGGTGCGAAATGTGGAAAGAAAATATTTTTCGTGTGGCTGGCGTTGGTGCCGAGTCTTCTGAGCATATCCTCCGGCTTTGTTTGTGGTTTCGTGTATCTTTTGTGGTTCTCATCTTGTTGGTCATTTCCCAGAATTTTCCCTTGTCCTTCATTTTTCCTTCTCACACTGACCTTACCTTTCCACTTCTTGTAATCAATTCTACGATTTTCCCGCGTTTTTCCTTACCCCGTCTGTTTTGAGTTCTTTCTTTCTTCATTTTCTTATTCCTTTCAATTTTTAGTCTCACTGCTTTTCATTTTCACATTTTCACATACACATTACTTTACAGCACATAACTTTCTTGTCCATCATGGGACCAACTTTTGTTATCAAAAAAAGAGTGATTTGGAGGAAAAGATACCCTCGTTTATTCGTGCATTAATTTTCACTTTTTTTTTCAAATTTTGATTTCTTGCAGCTTTCCTATTGTTTCATAAGGTTTGCGGTTTTCCTATCTTCTCATTTTGACCTTTGTCTTTTTCCTAAATGAAACCAGCTTGGTTTTGGTTTGGAATTAGTACTCTATAACAGCTCTGTTGTGTCCTTGATTTTTTTTTTTTTTTTTTCTCCTCCTGGAATGGTGAAGAAGGACTGAGGAACGGCTGAGCAGCGTTTTAAGCTTCAAGTTTAGATAGTGAAAAGAACGATGTATGTATGTATGGTTGAGAACGGACGAAAAGATAAGATCAGAGGGGGGGGGGGAAATCAGGAGACTAGCCAAAAATGGAACGTACATAACTATTCCTGGTAAAGTTTTCCTTTGAATATCGTTGATTCTATTTTCGTCTGCGTGCTCGTCTGAATCCGCTGCTACTACGAGGCTACATGAACCCTTCTGGCCTAACTACCGTTCAACCATGTTGAAGGCTATCTATCACTTTACGGTTCTGAGTCGCGTCGCCGATCTATGCGCAAGCCCTTTCATAAATACTGTGTACCAGTGGCCCCGTCATGACTTACTTACGGCGGAGGCAATAATGTACTATATCCCTATCTACCCACCAACCTACATCTACCACCTACCTTATGGTGTCCAGGGAACAACCTAGTTAGTTAAAATCGAAAGATTCAAATAAGCTCATTCACGTGACACTGCTTAACCTTAAAATATGGTCTGGTCCTGGTTGAGGCGGGAAGGGAAGGGAAGGGAAATCAATATCTTGGTTTGGTTTGGTTAGAAGGAGCATGTACAGTACTCAGTTGCTGCTTTTCCTGTCTGGGAAGGAGGGCCCAGAAGGGGGGGGGAACACGGTGGTTTTTGTTTTTTTTGCTGCTGTGGTTTCACGGAAGAGGTGCAGTAACTATTTTGTTGTTCATGTTTCCAATTCTCACTGAATATACCACGGTGGTTTGCAAAGTAGGCCATGGTTTCCTTTCGTATCAGATGGCTTGTTCTTGAGAGAATTGTGGATTCTATTATCCAGTAACATATACTAGGGTTTGCAGTCGGGGATGGTACATGCACAGACAGTACATTAGATTGACTATTATTGGGCGATCTACACGAAAAAGCCAAGTGACGCCAGGTATAACTGAAAGAAAAAGGGGTCGCGCCGTCAAGGTACGCGGAACTTTCATTTAAACTACTATCTAATAAAAACCAATCCATTCCTCCTGGGAATAGACATACCTGTTTTATTTCTTTGGATTCATTCCTACAAGGCCTCACCCTATACTCCAATTGGGCATCCGAAATTCATCTCTCACATTTCCACTATCGTAGAGCATCATTGGGATCTTCGTTTTTCATATACATCGCCGTAGGGAGTAAAGGCGACGGTGGAGTGAGTGGGTGTGATATAAGGGTCTCATCTCATCATAATGTTTAGTCCTCTTTCCTCATCCTGTTTTTATCCGTGGCAGAATCGAAAAGGGGCCGAGATTGGACCTAGATAAGGCTTCTTGCGCGGGTTCAAGGTTTCGGGACCACGATACCGGACCAAGAGCGTAGTGTGATCAAGGAGTTGGTGTGTACCCTAGGTGCGAAATCGCTGATGCTAGGTCCGTGAAATTCGTCGAGAGATCATCGCTCGGAGCCGCCTTTCCAGCGCATCAATGAGAGAAACGAAATAGACGACGGTAAAGTACTCAGCGACTGGGGACCAGTAAAAAGAAAAAGAAATCTTGAGCAATCAATAAATTTCAGTGCTAATAAACCGACCCTCGAATACTCCGATCCTCTCGTATTGCCTTCTCAAGGACAGCATCCTCTTCCTCTTCCAGCTCATCGCTAGAATAGGGACCGGCTTTAGGAATATCACGATCATTCCCGTCCTTGTCGTCATCATCTAGCAGGCCTTGTTTGCCCGCAGAACGGTCGTCGTCGTCTCGATCGCCCAATGAGTTCGCGATTCCATGTCCTTGCCTCCGGTCGTTGCTTTGCAACTGGCGCTGCCCATGGCTTTGTCTACCACTTTGCATGCTAGCTGCAACATGCTTATAGTTTTCATTGTTATAGCCAACGTTGTCGACCTCTTCGTTATCTGATGTTGCACGGCTCGTTGCGCCGCTTTCGGAGCCGCCGCCGTCCCGTCCGCCCAGGCGCGTGGGATGGTTATGTGGTCCCTTTCTATTGTGAAAGGATGTAGAAGATTGGTTCTGGCTCCTGTTCAGCTCCTGTTCTGATGACAACTCCAGCTGGGATTTGAAATCCACGTGTAAATTCAGGGAGATGTGTGATGGCGTTGAATTTGGTGACGATGAAGAAGTCGAAGGAGGGGCATGGTGGTAATGTGTGCTAGATGGATTGTCTACAGGTATGTCCCAGCTATATCCTGGGTTGGCCTGCGACGCAACAAATTGAGTATCATTGCTGCCTCCATATGTTGCTGTATCACCCTCCAATATCTCCTTTGTATATTGCCGTTGAGGCCGTCTTTTCCAAAACTTCACTGCAGAATGATTGCACCCGTTGGGGCAGCCACCCCATTTCCTTCTGATAGGGACATGCGACTCCATCTCGAGGTCAGGACTAATTAAAGCGCCTGAATCACCCTTTAACGCTCGCTCCCGCTCCCGTTCTCTCTCTCTCTCCCGCTTTAACTCAGACCAAGTGCGCAAGTTATTTTGAAGGACATATTTTCCATCGTCGTCGCTCTTCTTCATGATTACAAACTCACAGTGATTGACGTTTCGAAGGTCCTCGAAGTACTCAACGCTGAAGTGGTACCACTTCATTAAAAATATCCGCGTCATAAGCCCATGTGTGACCAGCACACATACGCTAGCAAAGTCTTGTTCCCCAAAGAGTCTCCATAATGACTCATTGAAACCGCTAACTCTGTCGTAGGCATCAGCCGCGGACTCTCCGTTCGGGATACGATAGAAGAAATGCCCATAATCAGCACGCTCCTGCCACATGCGCTCCATTTCTGCTGAGCATGGCTGGAAGTTGCCAAAGTCTTGCTCTCTTAACCGTGGTTCCTCGTAGACTTTTATTGTGTTTCTTGGGAAGGGCGACGGTGAAGGATCGTCTGACGTTAGAGACGTAAGGATGCCCTCAGTCGTCTCACGCGTGCGGCGGTAAGGGGATGTAAAGAAATGAAGGGTATCGTCTGGGCGCAGGAGGGCCCGCAATCTACGCCCAGCTTCGAGGGCCTGCTTCTGCCCCTCTGGCGTAAGTTTCACTCGGTGGTCCGGAACCGACTGGTGAATTTCACGGTTTTTGTTTCCTTCTGACTGGGCGTGACGGATAAGGATTATCATCTGTATATAGCTGGGTTAATATGGCATACGCGAGCTAGAGTTTGCCGCAATCGCACCAGAGAGGGCAGTCTATCTTGTCGGACTCACCCGAGGTTTCCCCATTCTTGCAACCTAGAGAATGGAATGAATGTGTTTTTTTTTATTATTTTAATTTTTTTTTTTTTTTGGAGGTCTCTTGAAAATACTTTCCCCAAGTCCTTTTGCTGTGGGGGCTTCTTGATGCTATTAACTATGAAGAAGAATGTTGGGTTCTAAATATGTCAGGGGGGGGGGTAACATCAACCAAGCTGCGGCGCTAATTGAAACCGGGTCGCGTTCCTGAGCGAGCCACCGCCATCTCCGCCTGCCGACTGCTGCCAACCTTCATCCATCTTCGATCATGCAACGTTTCTGCCCAACGGCGCGCATACACCAGTTCACTATCGAACCCCAGTCTCTTTTAAACCCCCGCATTGTTAGTGACTTAAGAGCTTGGGTTTTACGCCAGGCACGCCCGTTATGACTGATCCACTATACGAACTCTTGGTGCCGTACTTTGACTCCACTGACATTTCCTCACGCCCGCCACCCCCTACCTCAGATTCAGTCTCCTCCAAGTACCTTAACCGCTTATCGACACTTTCCCTATCCTCACTGACGTCGACGGAACCCCAGTCACTTTCGCAATCATCTCACTCTGTTCTAGTTTCCCTGCAAGCTCTCGCCAATCGCTCTCACAAGTCGTTCGTCACCACAGCCGACCACCTCTCTTCCCTCCGTTATACACTACCACAAATTGCTACAGAAGCACAGCGACTGCAAAATGGAATACCAAAGTTGGATGAGGGGATCGTGCATTTCTCTTCCATATACAACAAAAATGTAGAGAACCCAATGTTGGATGGCAGGAAGAAGGCCATGCAACTGCTGAGGAATGTGGACCGATTGTCCGATGTTTTAGAGTTGCCCACTCTGCTTTCTACAGCGGTGTCTTCCTCATCCGCTAATGCTGGGGCCGCTGGGGGATCGAACACGAATTACTCTTCTGTCCTAGATCTGTTTTCACACATAAAACGATTACAGACCCTTTATCCCGATTCGCCGCTAATTAAAGACATTGCTCTACAGGCGGAGGAAGCAATGAAGGACATGACCAGCAATCTTATTGCTGGGCTTCGAGGTCAAAATATAAGACTTGCTACGGCTATGAGAACTGTGGGTTGGCTTCGACGTGTCGCTCCGGAGTTAGAGGATCCTAGTAACGACGAAGCGCCTGCAATGAATAGTGAGGGAGCTTTTGGAGCATTGTTTTTAGTTTGTCGGTTGGCAAACCTAATATCTATGCTTGAGGCTCTTGATCCATTGAGAGAGCTCGCAGACCAAGAAACCCAGAAACGGCTGCAAAGCAATGGGAAACAAATGAACCCATCCACTACCAGCAATGCTTGGCCGGCGGGCCAGCAAACAGAACGATTTTTAAAAAGATACATTGAAATCTACCGAGAACAAAGCTTTGCAATAGTTTCCATGTACAAGAATATCTTCGCGCCCACACCATCCGACCCTGCGTTGCCATCCGCCAACGTGCCCGGCTTAGATCTGCGGGACTTAAGCCTGCAGACTAAACCAGGAACAAAATTAAGGAAACCTCAGAATGACCCTTTACCACGCCTACCTACCGCGCTAGCTACTTTGCCGATGCATCTAGCGCAACTCTTGACAGAAACGTTGAAAACATATCTTCCAAATGTCAAAGACAAGAGCTCACGAGAAAGCTTGCTTACTCAAGTGCTGTATTGTGCTGGCAGCTTGGGCCGGTTGGGGGGGAATTTTAGTATGATATTGTCTTTCCTTAGTGAAGGGGATGAAGAAAGCGATGCAGAGGACGAGGAGGTGACAGTCTCTGAATGGGAAGAAGTTATGAAGAAGCACCGTATACTATCAGAACGGTTGGATCGACTAACGGCCGGCGGGACTGCTAGCGGGCTAAAAACAATCTCAAGGGTGGTACAACCATTAAGCTAGATTGAGAGAATAATATATGATAACTCCAATACTAAAGATCAGCGCATGCCTGGAGGCGTATACAAGAGTAGTAAGTCAGACAAATAATTATTGTGCTTTATAGAATCCAACAGCTGAACGAGGCGTAGATTGCTCAACTTGCCCTCAATTTTATGAGCGTCTGTGGCCCTCCTGAAGAATACGCCCGGTAGATAAAAATAATAAAATATAAAAATAAGCTAAACCGTTCAGCCAGGGCGCGAATGGGCGGATCCACCAACCAATCCGGTTCCCGGTTTGGTGTTGTATGCTGGAGCAAGGCGAGCAGCGGCTGCTTTGTCATCCTGTGCCTCCCGTTTGATTGTTGATTGTTCCGTTGGTGAACGATTGTTTCTCGTCCTTTGAGCTGGCGTTTTCTTGCGTTTCTTCTCTCTCCTAAGCTTCTCTCTTTGTTCTCGTAAACCTTCGTTCTCCCTGTCTCGGATGTCGATTTAAATGTAGATCCTTTGCCCTCCTCTAATCCCCCGCCACGTTCCTCGGTCCTGCGGCCCACTCCCACGCTGCTCTGACAGTAGATCCGCCCCAAGCTAGCACCTTCGTTGACCTGCGCAAGCACTATATTTTGTTGCATAAACCTCTATTCACCCTTATTGTATATTACGTGACACGTTCGCTACTGTCCATTTTGTCTCGATACCAACCAATGGCCACTGTGGCAGCTCATGCTAATTCCCAGCCAAACGGTGGTTTGATTGACCCTACCAAGCAAGCGGAATACCCCATTCTCCTGGGCGACAAATTGGCTGGGAAGGGACAATCTAATACAAATAGATTCATTGGCATTACATATAACCATAAGGGCAAGTCGGCTTCTCGACATCAAAAGGCGACAATCACTGCGACGGGCTCCTCCCAGCATCTCTACAAGCTCACACTCCAAGACAAATCCCACAGTGCAGAACAGACAAATCTTATACACACATACCATGGCAGCGTTGATCCTGCATCCCTAGTGTCCGAATCAGAGACCAGCAACTTGGTCCTGGTGTTTGACCCAGAGCGAAGAGCGTTTGTTCTCGAGCCTGTGTCGACCAGATTGAATTTCAACCTTCAATCCGCGCCTGGGAAATCTACTCAACAAGTCATAGAACAATACCCGCAGCTTAGTGTTCTCTCTGGGGAAGATCAAACATCTGGCGATGACCAATTACAGGAGGGACATGGTGAGGATGATGCCCAAGGTGCGGCGGATGAAAGCAATCCATATGATTTTCGTCACTTTCTTCCAAAGCCTAAAACTGAACGCGAGGCACCTGAGACCACTACCCCCGATGCACATCAAACTCCTCGGAATCATGCAAATTCACATTTAGCACCACCACCTGTCACCAGTGTGAGACCAAGACCAAAGCCGCCAGCTAAGGCGAAGCCTCAAACAAACCCGCTTCGACAACAGAAACGACAACCGAAAGCGACGGCTGCAGACAAAGGATCGGCGAAGCCTAAACCTAAATCTGCCCCCCGCGTCGAAGAAGTGGACCTCGGCCTCGATTCTTCCTCCTCAGACAGAGAAGAAACTACAGCACAGAGAGCGAATGAAAATAAGCCAGCACAAGCAGCTAAATCTCCTGGGGCGAATATAATTGTTGATGGCGATTTAATTATCGATATGGGTTCTCCACCCCCTGCCCGTCCAGCCTTCAAAATAAATCCTCGACATTTCTCGTCGAACAATACCTCTGCGAATGAAGCGGACTACGACAGTGATGACGAGGGAGAGATAGAAGACTTGAGATTACCGTCTCCCGCAGGCACCACAACTCAAGCTCACAAGGACTACAAGGAGGATGAGGAAGAGGACGAGGATGAGGAGGAGGAAGAAGAGGATGAGGAACCGGAAGGAAAAGGAGAAAGCGTAGAACAGGATGAAGTTATAGACGATGATGATTTGGCTGCTGAGATGGAAGCGGCTTTTGAAGAGAGTGCAAGAGAGGAGGAGCAAGAGAGGGCCCAGAGGTTATTGCAACAACAGCAACAGATGCAACACCACATTGTGAGTGACGATGAAAGCGAAGTAAGCGAGGAAGAGTAAGTACATTATCATACACATTTATAAGAGCCATCGGCTTCTGTTCACAGTATTTTTATACTATTTTGGGGTTCTTTTCCTTTTTTTCCTTGTTGGAAGAGCAGAGCGAACGTGTTTCTTTACTCTTCAAGGATTTAAAAAAACAATGATAGACAAGTCGTTTGTATAATATACGTTTGTTGTACTCCTCAAATATCCCACCAGTGTGTTCCACGCATCTAATGCTCCGTCACGGAGACGACGGAACAACAATAATCCGATACATCCCAAATTCACACGCTGCCCACCGAGCAATATATCACGTCAAATCTGACTATGCCATCCGTATGAGCTTCTCTACGTTTTGGAACCATCTCCCATGATTTATTCATTCATGTCCTCTTATGGGGACTCTGGTGATCGAGAGTGAATGACATCAGGATAACTCTTCCGCCGGAGAACAAGGACGTTGATTAGTGAGCTGTCCGTATTTTGCGTGATATTACTATACCGCGATATCTTCTTTGCACTTCGTTCAGTTGAAGTCTTGTCTGGCTCCTTCTTCCTCATCCGTCATTGTGATCAAAAATGCCGGCTACATCTTCCTCAACGCGCGGGTCCGCACCGCCGGCCCCAACACCCTCCAACCGTGTGCTAGTCGCGGCTCAGTCGCAATGGCTATTCACGGACGCGGAACTTTACCGGACACCCTCTATCCTCGATGGGATGACGATTGAAGCTGAACACACAAGCCGTAGCAAGGGGGTTAACTTTATCACCCAGGTCGGAATCCTGTTGAAGCTTCCACAGCTCACGCTCTGCACCGCGAGCGTCTATCTCCACCGTTTCTTCATGCGATATAGTATGAAAGACCTTCCTCAGCGCCCAGGAATGCACCCTTACTCGATCGCCGCCACTGCTCTATTCCTCGCTACCAAAGTCGAGGAGAACTGCCGCAAGATGAAGGAGCTAATCGTAGCCTGTTGTCGCATCGCACAGAAGAAACCAAGCATGGTGGTGGATGAGCAGTCAAAAGAATTTTGGAGGTGGCGCGATACTATTCTACACAATGAAGACACGCTGCTTGAGGCCTTGTGTTTCGATCTTCAGCTTGAGCAACCCTACCGCCTTCTCTACGACTTCCTTTGCTACTTCAAGGTACAGGATAAGAAACGGCTTAGAAATTCTGCCTGGGCTTTCCTTAACGATTCTACATACACGGTACTATGTGTCCAATTCCCCGCACGCACTATAGCCGCAGCTGCACTTTATGCGGCAGCAAGGCACTGCGAAGTTACATTTGAAGATGACTCTCTAAATAGGCCTTGGTGGGAGCAATTGGACGTTGATCTCAATGAGATGAGAAGGGCATGCAATCGGATGGCAGATATATATGAATTTGTTGCCGTTCCCGTACCTGGGCAACAATATGTGCACCTCTCGACCCGTGACGACGAACCGACTGACAGGACAAGAACGGTCCACCACCCCAAGAGCGAGGGCAGTGTGGATATAAGCGCCGAGAATAGTGTGTCCCCTGGTGAGATCAATGGGCGCAAACGTGAAAGAGATAGCCATTCCGGCTTTAGCCAACATCCAATAAGCGTTCCCCCAAATGGCGCAGCATCAGGGAACCAGGACCGTCAGCCTTTTCCCAAGCGTCAGCGCCGTGAAGGGAGCGACGCTGGCACTGAAACATCCTCATTCAACCAACCACAGCCATCATCATCGCAGGTCTCATTAACTCAAGGAGCTTCAAACCTTAACTTAGCATCAAACCCATCTTCGCAAACCACTATCAGCGATCCGTCCAGTCAGAGACTGTCAGAAATGAACGGCCATGGGCATCCCAGGAATGTCTCTCCTCCCAAAAGCAGAATCCCGCAAGCGGCTCGCATCCCTCTAAATCAACAACGGCGACAACATCCACTTCCTCCTCCACCCCCAGTTACTGTCCCTCCTCTTCCCCATCAACACCCTCAGCCTCCTCGCCGTGGAAGCTATGGCAACAATCCACAACCACCAAATAGACAACCGCCCCCCAGAGGCCCGCCGTCGGCGACCGGATCCTCAGTGTTCCACCCACCACCACCGCCATCATCCAATCCCCGAAATGTTGACGAATTACAGCAACGTATTGATGCTATTATCCAGCAAGGCATGCCACCGGAAAACGAGCGGTCCCATGAACCTAGAGGAGATTATTACTATCGTCCATCATCAAATGAAAGGGAGCGGGATAGGGATAGATATAGAGAAAGAGATATAGATAGGAACGGAGATCGTGATAGAGATAGGTATAGGGACAACGACGGTGACAGAGACAGAGCAAGAGAAAAAGGGCGCGATCATGATCATAACCGTTCAAGGAGACACTCATCAGAGACATCAGGATCCGCAGCCATGTCCGCGTCTCTCTCTGCGCCCTCTTTATCTGGAACACTCCCACATCCGCATCCGCCACCGGCACCACCGTCGTCTCTGATTCCACCAGCTCCCGCTTCTGGGGCACGTCGTGACATCGAGCAGGATCAACATAAACGCGATGTAGTAGAAACGAATACCGCTGCACCGCAGGAGAACGATAACAAAGTCAACGAGCCTGATGATGGCGGTGGGAGCGAGGAAGGGGAGGTTTAAAATAGCGGCTGTTCCCTCTTTTCCAACAGCACCCCCTTTCAGTCTCCGAGGGATGAAGGGTGGCTGGCGAAATGGATGGCATTATTATTGGCAATCAGACATTCATGCGTTCAGCGGCACCAGTCACACTAACCTGGTTTGATTATACAATCAATACCCGTTGAAAAACATCACCATTTTTGGTGCTGCCATCATAATTAACAATTACTTAAGGCTCGTCTGTGAACAGCAGCCTCCACCGCTTCCCTCAACCTGATAGCATTATAAACTGAGAAAGGAAACGAGGCCTAGGCCCTTTTTTCGAACCCGGATCTCAATCTACATGTACTGATACCATCTTTCTCAGGGAGCCCACATATGTATATATATATATATATATATTTAGCGAACAAGATATTTCGCTATATGCCTTCCTTATGTACACGTACATATCCACTCCATGCGATAGATAGTCAATAAAAAAGAAGAAAAAGGCTCTTCAGAAAAGTTAAGAGGACCAATCTTGGTTCTTGTCGGATTGCCTCCCTTGCGGGCCGACCGCTTCCGCCTGCGGCCGCCGATCCACGTGATCGGCGATCGCAAGCTCCCTATAAAAAAGGCCACGTAGCAGCTGCCTTCTCATAATACAACCAACTACTCTAAGAACTCCTCCATCAGTTCTATGGAAGGCAAACGGTATGGAGTGAAACTAATTAGTAGATAGAATAAAAACAACCAACGGCTGATCTCGCGGCAAGGTTTACCTTTCCTTAAAATATCCTCTTGCTCTCGCACACTTTTCGGGATCCTATATTAGATCTGAATTGCTTGTTAGATACATGGGAGCCAAAAACAGCAGACAAAGGAACGAATCTCTTTCTCACGCGAGTTAACGTTTCCCCGAAAAGTTGAGTCAATTAGAGGGAGGAGGAGGTTTCTTCTATAATTAAATCAATCAATAAGGGTAAAAAAGGAAGGAGGGCGGGGACAGGGGCCCGAAAACGGATCCGGAAATCTGTCGGATTTACATCTAGCCTACTTACGAAACCGGGGAATTTTTCGATTCGATCCAACTTTGTTAGTGAATTATGGTAAAAAAAAATCGAAAAAAAAATCGAAAAAAATGGGGAAAAAAATTTATCGGACTGTACCGGAAGGGGTGATTAGAAGGGTCACATATGTAGGAATATCTATATGTGATGAAAACGGATAGGAAAGGGAGAAAGGGTAGAAGGGGGAAGAAGACCAGTTGGAGAGAGGAGGGAATTTAGATTGTTATTTTGGGTTTTGTTTCGGAATCGCTTCCAATGAAGTTTAAACGATGTTTTTCTCTGTTCCTTTTTTCCATTTGCTTTGCGCCCCCAAGGAAATGATCATACTAAATAATGAAAATACAGGTAGAAGACTATCAAAAGAGTACAATCGATAGCTGACAAAGGGATAGATAGAAAGTAATAACAATGGTTCGAGAGCGAAACGATTAGAAAATAATACATAGTAATAAAAGCCCGACCGAAAAAAATAAATAAGAAAAGAGTAGAAAACAGGATAAAAAAGAGCCCATATTGAAACAAATTTCCCAAGAGCCTTAAAAACTCCTTCCCTGTTCGCTTGGAACTTATTTAAAAAGAATTGCGACAGCGCTGGAATGAAGAATATGGCAGACCAACTTCGAACTTCGGAAAAACAAAATACAACAGGAGTAGAGTATATGTACAGAGCAGGGGGCGGGGCGGGGGATTAAAAGAAGTATAGTATATACTGCCTCTTCGAGCCAATATTCATAAGAGCGGGGATATCGCGCTATGTAGAGAAACGAATGATTCAAAATTATACGTTCGCAAATATTGCATCGAGTTCGTCAACTTCGACGGTTTCTGGGCTGGGTAAGTCGGTCCACGACTCTAGATCCATTCCCATCCCCAGTCCCATTTCAGTATCCAGACACATGGCCGGTTTAATTAGTTCCAGGGTGTCGTCGAATGCTGACGTCGATTTGTCTAGAACGGTAACGGCAACTGCATTATCAACCATATCGATTGTATCGCCATCCATTCCGCTTCCATCTGCCACCAGGGCAGAGTTTGCGTCTTCGCCTTCAACTATAGCGATGGATCTTTTGAGGCCCTTGACTAACCCAGTCGTAGCTCCGAATATTCTGGTGGGAGAGGAAATCCCACGCCCAATAGTAGCTGTGACGTCGTTTTCTCCTTTGAGCGACACAACAGAAATGTCTTCAGTTGCTACAGCTTCATTGTCCAGAGGTACGTGGGCATGAGCATCAGCGTGTGATGTGGCGCTAGTAGCCGACGATAAAATAGATAGCTCTGAGGAAGCGGACGGTGCCGGAGATGCACCAAACAGAGTAGTCACTGCCGCCTCATCCAGGTGCTGGTCCTGGTCGGGATTCTGGAGGATATGCGATGTAAAGTAGTCAACATAATCGCTCTCTTGATTATTGGATGCATGATGCGACATTGAAGACCCCTCCATTTCTACATCGCCACTACTCTTTAAGGCCTTCTGTCCGTCGGATGCATGGTCCTGTGGCTTATCGGCCTTCTCAAGGTCTTGTCGTTTTCTCGCCGCCACCTCTTCGGAGGAAGTTCGTTCGCGGACAGAGCTAGCTGTCTGAGTAAACTCCTTCTCATCGCCTTCCAATGGTGGAGAAATCGATCGATGGTTGTATGACACACGATGAAGATTGGATAGGTTACCCCTCACACCATAATTCCGGGATGAAGTGTGAGGTCCTCCAGGAGCTGAATGTCCATCTAGTTCAACACCATCTTCATCATCAAACTCCGGCGCAGATAAATCAACCTCTGGGCTTGGGCTTAAGCGAGCGCGCTCACGCGCCAAATCTTCGTCTGCATCGTCAGGATCGATACTTGGGTCCGACACGCTCGGGGTTATCCGTTTCGATTCCGTTGCCGGAGTTAGTATACCATCAGAAGCCTCTGGAAGTGTTTGGTGTGGCGATGTCGTTAGATAAAAGAAGACTTTGCGCGGATGCACTGGAATTAACTCCTTTGCGATCGGGCAAGGCGAAAGCGCCGTCCAGGGACGTTTTAAATACAGACTTAACCGCGACGACAATAGAGCTGCCGCATTCGCTGAGCTATGATACGAAATAAAACGAAAGAGTTAGCGATACCCTTCTTGCACACCAGCACAGAGCGAACTCCGGTCAGAGACAAAGTACTTACTTCGCAACTGTTTCATTTGTGTTTGAAAGGACAGTAGCAAGCTCCTTAATAAGATGGGGTCTATTTCCAGTCCTTTCCAGTTGTTCAATAACAGCAACTACAATATCATCGTTGATGCCATCTGTGTCGATTTTGGTAACAATGCCTGTATCCCCTGGGGATGGTGGCGGCGTGTGTTCATAGGTACCAGCGCCTCGCTGGCTCTTTTGACCGGAGCCATCGACTTTGTCTTTCAGTAGATTTGATTGAGATTCAGATGGAACTGACAAAGGCGACCGAGATGTTGAGTCGTGTGTCCGCTTGACTTTTTTTGATGGCGGTTGTTGCGTATCTGATGCCGCGGGATTCTTTGGAGTAGTTGGCGAGCGGTGGGAACGCGACGCAGACGGTAAATGAATACCTAACGACGGCAGGGAGAGCGACTTTCGGCGTGTGTTATAAACCATTGTTGTAAATGTAAAGACAAAACAGAATAGATCATGAAGCTGTCGAAAAGAGGATGATGGTGATGAAAGGTCGATGTATTTGTTTCGAGCTTGGGGAGAAAAAGATGGGCAGTCGGCGTTGAGCGCAGAAACACCAGGTAACTGGGGACACTCGGACAAAGGAAAAAAAAAAATTAATACAGGAGTTAGTTCTCTTTGGTTTGTTGTGGGTTTCAGCTAGGAGAAGGCGGGATTATTGATAGCAAATACAGGCTTTCGATTGGGTAGATGGGGTGTTGTGGATCGGTCGTGTGTAGCTGGGAATGCGACACAGTCGAAGCAGGTTAGGGGATCAGCTAGCAAGGCTAATACAACGCTAGGGAGCAGTCCAAGCTGCAAAAAGGATGAGGACAAATAGAAGATCCCAGTCGAGGCAGCCTGCCTAGGAACTTTGTACCCAGTTTGCATAATCCAAGGAGGCCAAAGTTTGAACCGGGTAAAAGTGTCACACCGCCCGTGGAACTCTAACCAAGCGGCGAAATTTTTCTTTGCATAAAGCCGGGAGAGTACCCGAAATTCCAAGCAAGTTAAAATATAGTATTCAACGTATTTGATTCGGCCATAATCCGTACAAGCGTGGAATATAGAACATCAGGCCCCGTAATTTTTGAAGCGGAGGGAGGAAAAATAAAAACGAAGATTTCGCTCTTTTCGGCCTTCTGTTTTGCTTGCATGAACGACGACAAAATTTTACAAGTCCTTGGGCCCGGATTGAAGGAAGCGAGCTGAGGCAAGCGAAAATCTATGACGAGAAATGATGTTTGCAGTAAATATCAGCGCGAGTAGCGGAAGCGCCGAAAAGAGGCGCTGATGAACAGAACTCCTCTCCAGGGAAGAATTTCCCGTCAATAACGCGGCGGACAGGGGCGCTGGCGACTTGCTTGCTGATGGCAGTGGTCGTCCATTGTCGCGATAAACCAACCCCGACGCTGGTTACTGGGAAAAGCTAACCTTGGGAAGCTTGGGGCAAGTCGGCGGTGCGAGTTATGCATGTTGCCAAAAGCTCCAGGTACTGCCCAGAAGGCCCCACTCACCGTCCTGCAGTAGATGGCTAGTAGTACTACAAAAAGAAAAATTGTTTTTCTTTTTTGTTTTTGTATTCTCTTTTGCTTTTTTTGGGGGCCCCGAGGAGGGGAGGGCAAAAAAAGGCAGGACTATCTATCGCAGCATGAAGCCGAAGTGGTTGGTTGTTGGAGAGGAGTGGAAACTGCTAGCGCCACTAGTCGCTTCGGAAGCTGGGAAGAATGAACAAATAAAAATAAGACGTTTTGAAACTTACCATGCAAAACCACGACTTCTAGAGCAGCAACCGGATCTCGTGGGAAGAAAAAGTGGAAACTAGAAGACCAAAGGAATTCTAAAAGAAGGGTTACGACAGTCAGCAAACCTGGGACCCAGGGTAGGGGGAAAACTTATTTTTCTTTTTGCTACGGCCGTGATGGAATTTGTATGCAACGACTCACGACCTCGGCCAGCTGGATCCCAGTGTGCCGTAGAAAGTACCTATCAAACTCTAAAACACGCCCTGAGCTCTTCCAAACATGAAAATATAGCCGCATCGTTCTATCGCGCAAAAGATCGGAGAACAAAATCGGCGATGCACTCCAAGGAGTCCGGCATAAAAAGGCATAGTTAGGCATATTTTTAGAAGAAATACACCAACATCGATGGATGCCTGTGGGTCTAAAGAAGCACATGCAGTGATGACATGCAGTATCCCAAGATTGTCGAGTCGCGAAAGAGCGGCAGAATGAAAATGCTCGTCTTGCCATATGGGCCCCTTTCTCCCCATCGCAGCGGCCATCCAATGTCTCCAGAGATGGAGGTGGATGTAACACCTATGCCCAGCCCAGGCTGCGACAGGGGGAAGTTGTGTTAGCAGCAATTAAAGAGGGCGGCGGCATTGGTGTGACAACGTAATAGCTATGGCTTCGTTCTAAATACATAACCCAAGTGGACAATGTGCCGCGTAGAGAACATTGGAGTTGTTGTTGGGATGAAGTCGTAAAGAGTAAACGAGCCTTGGAAGATGAGGCTGATTTCCTTTTTGGGCAATCGTCACTTCTACCCTTCCTTCCTCTGCTGACAACTTACATACTCTTCGTTGGCCTCCAAAAGCCCATTTTTGTATATTCTCAAGATACATAGTATGTACAGTACAAACTGTGTACTTGGGTCTTCCTGAAGATTTTGGCTGCTTGATACATACCCCTTTGCCCTGGAACGATCATATCATATGTAGCCCAAGCACCAACCAACGTAGCGTAGTAGATGTATTTTAGTGTTGTACCCCATCCCGGCTTCGCAGCCCGATCCGTGGGGTATCAGGGTTCGACAGTACCGTACGGAGTGCCACGAGGAGAATTGACAAGAGATAGAATAGAGCGCTTGCTTGTTGATTTGATAACAGGTTTTAAGCACGGCTAATCTCTTCAGTTTTCGTCATTAAAGGTAGGTACTGCACATACTTGTAGCCTACTCAAGGACAATCCCCGCAACGTAAAATATCGGCCAGCGTGAAGACAGCTTTTTCATCTGTACAGAGTATTATTAAAACAAGTTTGAGACAACGATGATCGCGCGCGCCGCCCAGTATTTATCTGACCTTCATAATTTGCTGATCTCAGTAACTTCCATCTTCTTCAAAGTTCGCAGTTGATGACATAGTTAAAACATTTTAGACAGATCACATCCAAATCCTGCTGTGTTGAATCTTACATTTCTCGCCCACCACCTTCCTCTTGAACCTGTTGATTCATTCGATAGCATGCACAATAATGAGGAAAACAGTGGGGCGGATGAGAGGCGTTCAAACCAACTCTACGGAGTAGTTCGTGTGTTGACAGACCAAACAAAGGTTGGCCAGCTGAATTTTTGGTGTCAGCGGCACTAACGGCGATGCAGCCGGCTGATTCATGGATGACTTTCTAGCCGCCACTTGTTAGAGACAATACGATTCCCAGCGCCACGGAGGGAGCGATGTTGCCCCTGAAATCGCCCAGCCCCTAAACCAATGTTCGGGGGAACAGAAAACGCACTAGCCCGAACCAGAGTGGTATGGAACCCGCAGTTGGCTCTTTTCGTTTTTTCTTTTCCTTTCCTTTCCTTCTTTTTTCTTTTTCTTTTTCTTTTTTCCTTCTTGGTGGTCCTTTGGAAGTTCGTGGAAGCTATATTTCAATACATGGGTAACTCCGTACCCTTCCCCGTACGCTACGTATACAGCCGTACATTCTTTAGTAGAATATCTAAGTAGGAAGCATCTCAGCAGGTACGTAAAATACATATCTATATATGCCAGGTGTAGGGTTTAAGAAAAAAAAAACAATTCCAAGGCGAAAGGAAGAGCTGAATTCTACATATTCAGTTGGTAAGTCCAATGGCTAGCAAGCATATCACATAAACGCAACAGAACACCCTCAAGACCTGAAGGTTCAACAGCGCATCATAACTTCCTCGTTCCCCAACCAAACCATCCCGTTACAGATTTGTCACCTCCATCCTCATTTTCTCTCTCCTCCTTGCCTTCGCTGGCCTTCTTCTTGGGCCGCAAAACGAACTTCCACGTCGTTCCCAAATGCCACCGCTTCGACTCTACGATCTCCAACCCGCTCTGTCGCACAATCTCCCCTATATCGCGATTCCACCAGCACCCATGTCGATCAGCATGGGCAGCTGCGAGATCATCAAGGAGTTTGTTGAGCCAACGGTAGTGTGAGCGGCCGTGCTCTAGCAAGAGAATCTCCCCGCGCTCAGGCTCGACTAGTGTCCCAAGATGAGTAAGGTAGGACACAGGGTCGGGGAGGGAGCAGAGACCCATTGTCTGGATGACGGTGTCGAACTTGCCAGATTGTTGTTGAGCGCATATTTCGGGGGTCTGTAAGCTTATGGCCTTACTATCTTTGACATCGTTGTTACTGCTATCGACGCTGCTATGCCGTGAAAGCTGTAGTGCAGCTGTATGTGGTGGGGCCGGAATAGGGGTCATAGCATCCTGTGCCCAAAACGCAGCCAATTTGAAGCGCGGATACATCTTTTCAAACTTCTCTCTGGCGATCTCCACCATTTGGGGGCTTTGGTCTACGAATGTGACAGACCTGCATCCCTGAATCTCAGCTTTGCCCTTCTTGTCCGTTCCGCGTTTCTCCCCCAGGGAATAGTATTGCATATTTCGCCCCGTGCCACAGGCAACCTCCAGCACGTTGCCACGCGCTCTCCTAACCAGCTCCTCTCTCTTCTTGCCGACGCGCATGATCCGCTCTGCCATTTCTACCTCTGCATCGTAGGTGGGAGCGGTTTGGTGGTACCGATCCGACACGTCGTCGGGCACGGAAAGTGTTTTGGACTGTTTCACTGTTCTGTCGTAGGTTACGTAGAGATAGGTTCCATACGTCGAAAAGAAGAATGCGGCAACTGCGCATACAGTCAAGCCCTTTGGGTTTATTGATCTGGCACGCGGTGGTGCGGCCTGCGCTGGAGCGGGCTGGTAGGAAGGCCTATTTTGCCGCACTCTGTTATAATTCTCATCAGCATCATACCTATATGATGAATAATTTGGGTTAGATGATAGGGGTAGCTCGTAGATACATCAGGGGCCACATTTGAGGAGATCCATAGGTGCTGAAGCTAGGAGAATGATATAAACAGCCATCCAGCACACAGGCCTAATAGAGTGCCCAGATATAGGAAGTTATTATGATGCAAAGCTTTTGCAAACGCAATCTGCTACTGACCTTTGCGATGGTGCCATGGGCAGTTGCTTTGACATTCCTTTGGTCCTTGGCCCATTCCCGGGTTTCGGCGGGCGCTTTGTATTTGGAGGCGAGGCCATTGTTTTTATTTCAGAAATCTGGACGCTGGTGAAATTTTAAAAACATGAAAATGTTTAGGTATATAAAACAGAAGCGGCTTGGAGAATCCGCGCATGCAACTAGGCTCGGAAGCAACACGATGTCCGCAATGGCGGCTGAATGACCCCTAGAATAAATAGAGATAAAATAATAATAATAAAAATAAAAATAGCAAATAAAAAGGAAGAAGAGAGTATACAACAAATATATACGTGAGATCCGGGTTGGTTAATTTGAAGCTCTTTAGCCTTGGTATATTAAATATATGAAAAATATTTTTTCAAGACAGATAGATTTAAGGATCATAAGCTGGGCATCCAATGGAAGCCAATTCAAAATATAGGCGAAAGGAGGAAGTAAAGACAAAGATATAAATCCCAAAAGAAACCTGAGTATCTTACAGATATCATGCCGCCAACTGGAGATGTTCTCTGCTGTCCACAGATAGTATATAGGATGTCAGAGAATTTGATGTTGCGGCGGTCCCAATATCTCGGCAACAAAATGCAATGTGATTGGTCCAAGTTGTCCTGTAACCGATTGACCCTAAGGTTACAACAGTACTTTTACCTTGTCAGGTTCCTTGCAGGGACAATTCATAAACCTGGTATGGCGAGCAGTTGTAAGTATGCACTCTTCACGACTATGCCACCACGGCTGCCTGCCATGGATATGTTTCCTAAAAGCGTCTGGGTTAACCGGCGACGCCCTGTTGCAAGCCCGTATAGACAAAATTCCCGGGGCCGATTGTACGCGGCACCAAACGATGGCAAACGCCCAATCTCCACTTGGCCGCCGAGCACCCCATCCTTCTGGGCCTTTCCCACATCGCTGTAGCCGAGCATCGACTGACCACGGTTAATTGTGTGAAAAGGAAGTGAAGAAGACGACGACGACGAAGAGCAGGGGATAGAAGGCTACAGGACCTGAATATGGCAATAACAAATTCAGCACAAGACATGATTACCGGATCTGAAATCCCGCTGCCGGATTCTATCATCGTTGTTGGGGGCGGGGTGTTTGGATGTGAGTGAAAAAACATATTCCCATTGGGAACCCGAATTGGCATTGTCAGCTGGATATCCCTGTTTGTAGAACAGCTCTCTTCTCTGTACTCCCTCCTTAAACCCAATGAATAGGCATGGTTTTGTTTGGGATCCATAGCAAGTTGGGGGAATCTGGAAAGCCTGATCTGACCGGTTACAGTGTCCACCGCCCTCGCCCTCTCCGCCCGCCACTCCGGGAAAATCACACTCATCGACTCTTCACCGACGATCCCAAACCCCCAGGGCTCCTCCGTAGATAGCTCCCGCATTGTGCGTGCGGACTATGCCATTGAGGCCTACACTACTTTGGCAGAGTCGGCTCTTGAAAAATGGCGCACAACAGACTGGGGTCAGGAAGGTCGATATACGCAGAATGGCCTCGTTCTGGTGTCATCCGGTGATCAGTTCGGCAGGGAATATGTGCGGGAGAGCTACGAAAATGTCAAATCTATAAATCCCGATGTTGTTGAGAAGCTGCCTACGAGAAAGGATGTTGAACGGGTAGCACCAGGCTACGGAGCTGGCCTTCACGTCTCGGGGGGATATGTGAATTGGGGATCTGGATGGGCCGACGCAGAGGCGTCGGTGAGGTTCGCTAAAAAGAAAATTGACGAGATGGGCAAGGTGGAGTTTCATACCGGAAGAGTCAAACGGATACTATCAACACCAAATCCAGGTGATGGCCAGAGAGGAGCTAAAAGAGCAGCTGTTGCTCCCTTCGTACGGGCAAAAGTCACCGGTGTTGAATTGGCTGATGGCACCACCATCACAGCTGATCTAGTCATATTAGCTACGGGGGCGTGGACGGGCCGTCTAGTCGACCTCCGCGGCAAAGTTGAAGCGACAGGCCAAGCACTTGCCTATATACGTATTTCCGATGAAGAGCAAGCGAAGCTCGCAGACATGCCTACTGTCATAAACTTTTCGACGGGCATGTTCATCATCCCGCCGCGCAACAACATGCTGAAAATAGCGAGACATGCATACGGCTACCGGAACCCCAAGCGCGTGTCAGTTCCCGGCCCTAGCCAAACAGAGACGACGATCGAGGTCAGTCTTCCTGAGGCAGACGTCCCACTCCCAGAGGAGGGACAGGCCGCATGCAGAGCTGCGCTGAGGGAAATGCTGCCGGCGTTTGCGGATCGGCCATTTGAAAAGACGCGTGTGTGCTGGTATTCGGATACGTAAGTAACCAGGCCCCTTGTCCCCCCAATCCATCCAACACACCATCTCCATAAATATAATGATAATAAACTTTTACACACATCTTAATCCTAACCCCATCCCTTGCCTTTTTTTGCCACCCATCAGACCCAAAGGCGATTTCATAATCGACCACCACCCGCATTACGCCGGCCTCTTCGTCGCAACCGGCTGCAGCGGCCATGGTTTCAAGTTCCTTCCAGTACTTGGTGAGAAAATCGTCGATGCTGTCCAGGGTCGCTTGGATCATGACTTACGGGAACTGTGGCGTTGGCCTGGCGCCATTGGCGGTGCGGAAGGTGATGATGATCCTGAGACTGCTACCGTTGTGTGGACGGAGGACGGGAGCAGGTCCGGTCCAAAGGGGTTGATTCTGATGGACGAGTTGGCTAAGGGGAAGAAGAGGGTGAGCAAATTGTAGGTGGTATGTAGGTAGGTTTTCCTGATGTTTTTGTATACTTGTTTTGGTTTTATTTGGGCTTTATATCTATGCCTTATCGACTTTTGTTATGCGTTCGTTGGTTGCTGTTATTGCCTTGACTTCTCCTCTCTTTGGCGCCTGAAATGAAGTGCATGAATCAAGCAGACTGTGGTTGAAGGGTGATTATAGAGCATGAGGATGTTATACTGTAGAATGTAGGTGGTAGTAGGTGGGTCTCCATTTGATTGGTAGATATAAATATATGTTATTTATTAACTTGAGTGGATGTTGCACCTTGGATGGGATGTTTGGGATAGGAACAGCCAGCGTAGTGAAAGGGCCAGGAAAACAAGAACAAAATAAAATCAGTCTTGACACAAGGCGCGTGTGGATAGACATGGATGGGATGGATGGATATATATGCGTAGGGATACATAGCCTATCTACCAGAAAGCCCTCAAAAGTTTAACAATTAGATAGATCTTAGACATGTCACTAAATCTAACGATTCAAATAGTTAACAAAAGGAGACGTAAAATTTTCAAATCATCCACCATATTAGTTGATTTATTCATATTCTCCAGTTAAATTTATTTTTTGCTAAGCAATCTTTTTATTGCCATCAACCTCCAATCGGCGCACCCTATATCTCTCCTCCTCTGGCACCAGAATGCAAGTACAAATGTTATTCAATCGAAGAGGCGAAAATCGAAGATGCAGCAGTGAGGAAACGTGATAAAGAGGCGACGTTTTTTTAGGGCAGGAAATAACGGAAAAAAAGGCAAAAGGTAGGTATGTTCATGGCCGAAGACAGACCTTTTAAATAGAAGGGGATTTCAATTTATTTTTAAAAAAAGGAACAAAATAGAAAACAGGCGAATCTAGAGTTTGTAAAATGAGTCACCGTCTCCCACATGTCGATGGCGACAAAACAAGAGGGATAACGCAGAAAACCGTACCATTTAGAAGCCTCGTCATATGGTATGTGAGGAAGGGAGAGAAGGAGAAAGCATGATTAAAAAATGGGAAACACACGTTGAAAAGAAGAAAAAAGAGAACAGAAGAACCCATCCCATTAATCTCGAATATATTGCGCCCGAGCGCCCCACCCATCAGGTCTGCGGGGGAAAAACCGCGACTTTTTCTAATGTGTACGTAGTAACAGAAACAGGAACATTGATAAAAGACACTTTGGAGCCGTCAAAGGAGAAGGCAAAAAAAAAAAAAAAAATAGAAGCAATTCGCTATAACTCCATGTAAATGCATGACTGGAAAACACAGAAAGAAGACAAGCAGTTCCTCCTCCGTCAATGGTGGCGCGGTGGGTGTGGGAAATTTTTTTGTGGTTTAGTTGAGCAAAGCTCAAACCAGGGATTAGGATGTCCACCACGCAAGGTGGGAACTACGTGATGCATGCTCCATCCAACCAGAGAAGTATGGTCGACAAGAAAAACTGTTAATACAAGGTGGTAACGGATGTTTTCAGATAATGTGGTGCGTGGACTTGATGTAAGGAGGAAGTAGCAACGAATTAACCTTTGCGGAAGTCTTCGTAAGGAGCAAGTTAGTATAGGGAGTGAGTAGTATTCAAGGATAGAAGTGTCCAAACACTTACCAGCAAGGACAGGGTAGATCATTTCGAAGGCTTGATAGATCTCCTCTCGTACTTTGGCTCCCGTCAAAACAATCTTGCCGCTGACGAAGATCAGTAGGACAATTTTCGGTTTCATCATACGATAGATGAGGCCAGGGAAGAGTTCAGGTTCGTAGGAGCTGAAATTGTGATGGCGACTGGCAAGTCCCTCCAATCGGATGGGGAACTTAATATCGCAAGACCCAACAATGTTCTGGATTTTGAAGTCCGTAAACTTCGCATTGAACCCCAGCTTCTGGATGATACGAGCATATTTTCTCGAAGCGAGCTTGGAATCATCTTCAGATTTCGCACCGGTAACGACCATCTTACCCGAGGCAAAAATAAGGGCGGTGGTCTTCGGTTCGCGAATGCGCATGATGACAGCAGCGAAACGCTATATAACATGAATTGTTTTAGCCATACTTTGTCATGGCTAAATAAATTACACCTCTCGCAAGCCAAAGGGAAGCAAGGAGGAAGCAAAAAAAGGTGCGTTATATCAGTACCTTTGGGTTGTATTCCGCATTTCTAGCGTGAAGCGCAATGGTCTTCAGATCCAGACGGCAGTCAAGGTTGACTGTAGCAACAATGTTTCTTAAAAAGGCCATGTCTGTTCAGCATTCTGGTAAACCAGAAGGACATCAGGAGCTATACTCACTGTAAAGTAGGTACAATACCGCTAACTCCAGGACCGGCACCGGCTCCTGGAGTTGCAGCAGGGGTTGCGGGTGTCACCCCGTTGCCGGTAGTGGCATTTCCCGCCTGTAGTTGACCATTCGCTTGTTGCAACCCGTGTACCGGCCCTGGTTCCTTCTCTGATGATGGTGGAGTCAAGTCACCAGCGCCGCCTGGGAACGATAGCGAAGCTGGAGAAGTAAACGCCTTCGCCTGCTCTGCAGTCGAGGGATGAGTGGTAAGAGAATCCATATTGTGTGGGATATGATTCGAGAATTGAGTGTGTGCAAGGATGGGTCTGGTTGCAGAACGATCTAGAACTGTCTATGGATTGTAGCGTTAGAGCACTGTCTTTTCCCGAAATGTAGCAGTAGCAGAATCCACAACGTAAAGCAGGCTTGTAACGACCGGATGCCCAGTTTATCTTGAGCTTCATGAAAGGACCGGAGTAGGTGAACAAAGTAGATTTACATGTGGGTTGAGAAGAACAGCAAGCTCTTGGAAGTAAAAAGAAGGCAAGGTGTAGAGGGTGGTATTTATATGTGGTTGCGGGGAAGCAAAATAAAGGTGTGGCTGTTGTAGTCAAAATGGAAGTTGAAAGTGAAGTGGGAGCCAGAAAGGGAAATGCGGCTCTGTAGAAGCCCAAAGAAGAAAAATACACATACCGTTTGGATCTGCGGGAGATAAACAACTCAATGTCTCCCCCGACAATAATACAACCAGACGACAACTGTGGATGTATGCTGTGAGCGATGCGCTGCGACGAAGCCGGATATTACCACTGGGCTCCTCTTCCGCTTTCACGATGTGTCAAGTGATGACGTGACGGATGAGAATTGCGCAGGAAGAACGAGGAGGCAAGGTAAGATATAACCGTCCGAATTCGAGCGGCGAAAACCAGACAGATAGCTTGTCTGGATGCGCACGGAGGACAGCGAGAGCTGTATCAATGTCGAGACAGTGCCAGAAAGCCTTGACAAAGCAAGCGGTTTTCGATAGGATCCAAGGCGGCGACGACAGTATAAAAGTCGCAAAGTCGCAGAGTCGCAAGCAGAGACAGAAAGATTAAAGAACTAAAAGGAAAGACAAAAACAATGAAATAATTAAATATATCACTGGGTGTGCTAAGACGACAGTCGCAGGGTGGTGACCCTTGACAAGCGAATGCAGGAGCTATCAGAGACAAAAGGTACCGCGATGGCGAATGATTTTTTTTGATCTAAATTTGTTAAGGAGCGCGTGTTGAGGATTTTCGCAAATACCACGCGAATGAAACGAAAATAAAAAGTAGAACACCTAAGATAAGTTCCGTTCGTTCCCCCTTTCTTCTTTCTTTCCTTGTTTCTTCTTTCCTTGTTTCTTTTTTTTCTTTCTTTTTTTTCAATTTTATTTTTGGGTCTTCCGCTTTTATATATATATGTAAGGTGTGACGGGATAATTTTCTCGTTAAGTCCTGGCAACTACTCCCCGTCGCGCTGTTAATGGTTTTGGTGCGAGCTGAGAATGAATAGCCCTCCGTCACTCTCTGGAATACGAGGTAAGGGAAAGGGGAAAAGGAGAAGGGAGGAAGAGTACGGCGGAATCTATAGAGGGGGGCGGAGAAGCGGGGGTAAGGAGGGACAGAGAGAGGCGGACCAAAAGGGAGGTGATGTTGACGTTCCGGACGATGCCAAGAACAGAGCAAGACTCCAGACGAGAACCAGAAAAGTGGGAGGACGCCTGCTTTTATACTGCGCCCGTTTCCCCGTCACTGTGGTCACGCTGGTCCTTGGCCGCACGGCGTTTCGCTTGTACACACGCCCCTCGCCACCCCTTACTGTGGCGCCGCGGCCAGGACTGTCATGGCCTCCGCCTGCAATAGCCCAGCAGCACTGGTCGCTGCGCTCGTGCTGCTTCAAGCAGCGTCGTTTGCTTACCTCATTGGGTCACCCCTCTTGACCTGCCAAGACACACTATCCACTTTTGCAGTCAAAGTTACTGGATCGTCCGATCAACGAGCGTCAGTCGCACCAATCAGCGGCTTGATCACCTACATCATATTTTCAACCTGACTGCAGGGTTTTTTCTGATGAGGTGCTATTCCGCTTTCTGGATTGGTCCGGCCTGTATGAGTCAGACCCACACCGTCCATACTTGCTAAGGACAGCATTACGTCCTGGACCCCGTTCAACGTATTACGCTGTATTGAGCCACAATCTCTTCTCAACCATGCAGCAGCTGAACACGTGCTGTAATGATTCCCTGTTTTGAAACCGTTTACTCTTTGTAACATCAAAATACTTCCTCTCAATACCCAAATCAGGCACGGTGTTTCTCGGCCCATTTCCTCTAAACTGCCGCCCAGGAGCGCCAGAGAGGATATCCGGCCGTTGCTGCTTTATTGCCGCACATCTGGAACAAAGGGGCGGCTCCTGTTTGGGTCTTCTTGATTCAACTTTTGGTCGCGTCAGGTTGGCCTCTGTGCACGCGTACACGCACCAATGAGAGCCCGTCTTTCGTAAAAACTCATCGATCCTTCCCAAGGATAAAAATTCAGACTCAGCTCGGGCAGTTCTTTTCACGTGAATTTTTCTACGTAAACGAGATCGCTGTTGGCTGTTATTCATCCTTCCCTCAACTCTCCAACAATGTTGGAACCATTTTTCCCATGATATCGTGGTATTAATATTATCGGACAAGGGAGCCATCTTCAGGTTGGCTGGTGCCTAATAAGAAGCCTAACAAACCAACACCCATCACAACCGCGAGGCTCTTGTCAACGCTACAAGGGGATTGGGAACCATGTGTTAATTCTTCTGGTTGGCAATCTTCCCGGAAAGAAACAGCCTCCACACGCACCCACTCGCGAAACGGGCCCCAAGGCTGGGTGAGCAGTGGCATGAAATACCACAAACGAATTACATGGGAATACATTTAGATCATGACTTAACAAAAATTAGCTAACTGTGCGCCCTAACTTCGGATCAGTTGTCGCCCCAAGATTTCTATTATTCTACGGGTTAGGTTGGTATACAATAATACAAGGGAGGCAATGACGGTCACACAACCCATCCACCCAACTTTCTCCTGAGTGACATTCAAATGGGCACGTACAGGTAGGTAACTGTACGTGTCGACCGCTCCTGCAACCACCCAGACGGACAACCCACCCCCAATACCCCTTTATCTTCAGGGGACCAACCACCGCTCAGCAACAGGATTAATCGCCAAATCAACACCCGCTGCAAAGAAATAATGAGTGGAAATAAATACTTGGCCATTTGCTGGGGACAAGATCTTTTCTATAAGTATACTTTTCGGTGAGCAAGTTTTGGTTTCTCTGATGATGGGAACACCATTACTTCCAATTGCGTATTGCGCGATTTTATTGTGACTTTCAAAGTATCTATTTACTATATTTTCCTCCGGTTGGGGCCAAATTAACCTTGGAAAGAGACCTTTTTTATTTCTATATTTTCTTTTCTCTTCTGATTTAATAATAATAGTAACCTCTAGCAATGCAAGTTTCGGAGCTCCAGCCGTTGCGCGAATTTGTCAACTCCGTGACTGCATCAGGATTCCTGTTCCGATGCTTTCTTTTTGCTCAGCTTTACTTTTTTTTTTTTTTTTTTTTTTGCAGAGAAGTTGAGGTCCAAAGGGGGGAAACCTTCTCTCTAGATTCCAGCTTCGTAAAGAACTTGGAAATAATTTCATGCTGGAGACCAAGCTTGACGCTCGTTTCTTTCTTTCCTTTTCTTGTCTTTTTTTTTTTTTTTTGTAAGAGAGGTAGCAGCCGAAAAACAATATCCAACGTGCGGTTGAACCAAAAATTTCGGAAGTTCAATCCAACTTCTTGATGCACCCTAGGTACCTTTTTCAGAGTACGGAGGGGAAAAATGATAAAGGTAGGTAGACATACCATACCTGCCTTTTACCAATTTCACGCATACTCCGCCTAGGGGACGTTTTGGCTCATATAACATAGTTGACATGATGTGTCGGTACGTGCGTTCAGATCATTTTAAACGTGGGATATTCATGTCAGCGATTGGAGTGTCATGTACCGACATGGCCCCAAGTGCCTTGTACATATTGGTTATCTCCAGCAATCGGCGGCCCGCTGATTGTTTACCAATATCCAAGCGCCCTAGTTCCCGTGAATGCGGCTATGACCATATGATATAAATTTTCTCCATGGTAGGAAATCATCGCGGGTGAATAATCTTATCTGATCTCATTTATTGTGAAGTTACTGGTGAGAGTGGTGAGAACCCAGACGAGAGACCGTCCTCACCACAAGTTTTTAATGAAAGTTTTTAAGCAAGGCAAGGAGAGATGGTTCTGAAACCAATGGCTGCCTTCGCCTTCCTGTTGACATTATGGACTGACATTTTGGGATTGGACTTTAGGCAAAAATTGTATTTATTTTCGTCTGGTGTAAAATGCTTTCTGTGCTAGGAAAAAGGGGGAATTGATGAGAGATGATGTAATACAAGGGCGGCCGACCGGCGTTCGGCGGACAGCAACCTCCATGTTTCATCACTCATCATCGGACTTAGGTATTCTATGATTCCGTGCGGGAGTATGCACATATCATCAAGGCTTCTGGGAACATTGTGGCCAAAACCAATGGTTGGTGTATTTTCTTCATTTTGGGTCAAGGCATACAACGGACCATATTGCAGGCTATCTATCTATCTACCCACCTCTCAACTGTCAGTCAGATTCTGCTAGGCTTTTTTTTTTAGCCAAGACGATATCTAATTCGTTGTTAACCAATATATATGATGTGCATGATGAAGATCTCATAATATCCTGATTGATTGGATAAATTCTGGCACATCAGATGGACAAAAGCTCGATGTCAACACTTTGAATCGATCTCTTATCTTACATTCATCTACTCCAACCAAAGAGCAGTCACCTCAGACGATCAAGTTGACAGAAAGAGCCAGATCGCGGTTCGATCTCCCGTACATAGTTACCAACCGGACCATTGCGTAGGCTGTCGAAAACACCTCGTTTGACGCCGACTTGAACTTCTCAATCTTGCAATACGACTATCATGGAAGAGGTGCAGGCCTCAAGTTAATGAAATATCTGGAATATCTATGCACTGCATATATAGAGATATTGAGGCTATTCATGCTTCTCCCAACACTGGCAACCGCATTCGAGAACAAATGAAACCCGCCGCAACCCATCCGAGTGCACCCATTCGCTCAAATATGCCCGTCGGGAAATATATCGGTCATAGGGCTACAATGATGAAGCTTCCCAAACGGAGGAGATCCAGGGGCTCCAACAGCGGTCCATCATATTACCGGCGGAAGATCTCTCGCCACATCAACGCCAGCACCAGGATGCCACACCACAGACATGCAGGGAATAATGAACATGCCCTTCGCAATCCAGCCAAAACCGACAAGCTTGTTTTAGCCGTCGTGAAGTTTATTGCGAGACGTCCCGCCTCCGGGTTGGGTGTGCTCGAGAAGAGGTATGCTGCCCAAATACCAGTCCCGCGGGTGGATACAGTGGCAGTACTGAACAGTGTGCAGGATGTCCTGGACATCAAAGGGCTTTCTGAGGCGAGAGAAAATGAATGACCTACCATGCTATAGGTTTTAGCTGGCCATCTCTGGGTTTCGGCTTCTTCGTCAAGGTATATATATACATATACACATAAATGTTTCACATTGTCTTCTGAGCGTCTTGAAAGTTTGTATTACCAAAAAGGGAAACATAAAAACGTTCGGTTCTATGTGTCCTTCAATTTTTTGCGCTCGAACACTATTGCTCCGACTCGATTAGGGAGGACCTAATCCCGCTGTATTTCCTTCCATATTGTACTAGGGTGCCTACGCTCTCTAAAACGAAAGCTGCGTACTGTGGCTCATGCCTTCATTTTCATTTTTTCTTAAAAAATAATTGGTCAACGATTTACCCAGGGAATGAGACGCGAGGAAGGATTCATAGGTTGTTGAAGTCCCAAGCATCATTCCGGGCAAATGAGTGGAGATAAAGATAGACGCGTTTTCTTTGCCCGTTGGGAGCGCATCACAAGCTGTCCTGACTCGATAAACATATTGTCTCAGGATGTCATAAAGGAACTTTGAGCAGAAAGCATTGTCAGGAAATCGATCAAGCAATCACTGTATTGTAGAATATTTCCATGCCCACCCCTACCTTTAATAGATGCTGGCTCGAGTCAAGTACAGATGTCCGTCTTGAAGGCTTCGTTAAAAAAACGAAAAAGAAATGGACGCTGCCGGAATCGAACCGGCGACCCCGTCAATGCGAATGACATATTATACCACTAAACCAAGCGCCCAGATGATTGGCCGTAGATTGTTGGAAGTTAGTACTTTATTATAAAGGTGCTCCTCCGTACTCTGTACCTCGACAGAGATCTTGAACGCAGCCTCCAACCAACTGCTTTGCCATTGCACCAATTGGGAATTACAAGACTATTCTACTCGTATCATATTATTATTCTCATCAAATGACACGTTGTGCTTAGCCGGACAGCGGCCAAGTGCTGGATCCCGCGCGTCGAAAGTGGGATACTGAAGTTCCCTGATTTCCATCTGCCGCCTTCCCATTGGCTGATGGAGACAGTTCGGCTGTTCACGGCCTGGCGGCGATATTCCATGAATGTTTGGTTAAAACCCCGGCCCGGCGAAATCAACCCGCAATTTCCACTATTTTTGTCCATTTATAATTTATACCTAGAGGTGGTCTGTTGAACTCCTGTTGCTTGAAGACAACGCACAATGCCTTCACAGACCACCTGGTTACCTCTCTTGAGGCGGGAACTTGTTCCTATCCCCCCCCGCTGGAGAGCTGGTGTGCTGAAAACTCTCGCGTGTGCTTATTCCACCCGCACACCCACAGCACTCGTCGCATCAAGCCGGCGGCGAATAGTCCATCAACGGCAATTCCCAGCGCAAAATGTCGGTTTAAGCCAGAAACGGAACTTTTCAAGCACAGTCCAGCGGCGATTTGCGGACGAGTCAGAGAGCTTTGATCCTTCCCAGATTGAACGGGAATCGGACAGTGTTGATGTCTGCATTGTTGGAGGCGGTACGGTTTTATTCCCCTACCCGTACTCTACCTTTTTTTTTTTTTTTTCTTCTTTTTTTTTTTGGTGTCCTGTGTTTCGAATAGCTGAAAGCTAACCACACATTGTTGTGTGTGGAAAACAGGCCCTGCGGGCCTCGCCGCAGCTATCCAGTTGAAGAAAATTGCAAATGAAGCGGGCAGTGAAAATTTCCGGGTGATACTTTTGGAAAAATCGGGCGAGATTGGGGATCATATACTATCAGGCAATGTTTTAGAACCCAGTGCGATGAACGAACTATTTCCCGATTGGCTATCGGAGGACAACCCATCGAGATTCGAACATGCCACACCTGCTAAATCCGATAGCATGCGCTTCCTTACGAGCAAATATGCTATCCCAATCCCATGTCCGCCTCAGATGAATAACCATGGCAATTATATTATCAGTTTAAGCCAGTTATGCAAGTGGCTGGGAGAACGCGCAGAAGAGATTGGAGTTGAGTTATACCCCGGGTTCGCCGCAAGCGAGGTGCTATACGAGAAGGATGGATCTGTCAAGGGTGTTGCTACCAATGATCTCGGCATTGGGCGTAATGGGAAGCCTAAGGATTCCTTCGAACGAGGAATGGAGTTCCATGCCAGAGTCACGCTGCTTGGTGAAGGATGCCATGGAAGCTTAACAAAGCAGGTCATAAAGAAATTTGACCTGAGACGAGATAGCCAGCCTCAAACCTATGGACTGGGCGTCAAGGAAGTTTGGGAGATTCAGCCGGAAAAGTTCAAGAAAGGAGAAATCCTCCATACAATGGGCTATCCATTGCCGAAAGATGCATATGGAGGATCGTTCCTGTATCATTTTGGTGATAACATGGTTACTCTCGGGTTGGTTGTTGGCCTCGATTACCCCAACCCGTGGTTATCGCCGTATGGGGAATTTCAGAAATTCAAACACCACCCCCTTATCAAGCCGACTCTGGAGGGCGGAAAATGCATATCCTACGGAGCTCGTGCGCTTGTTGAAGGAGGTTTCCAGTCCATACCGAAATGCGCTTTCCCGGGTGGGGCGTTGATTGGAGATAGTGCAGGGTTTGTGAATGTTCCTAAAGTCAAGGGCACACACACTGCTATGCGGTCTGGTATGCTAGCTGCCGAGGCAGCATATTCTGCCCTTTCTAACCCAAACAATGGAAGCGTATTCCTATACGACTATGAAGACGGACTCCGAAAATCCTCCATCTGGAAAGAACTCAAGGAGGTACGGAACATGCGCCCTTCATTCGGAACTCCCTTGGGTATTTACGGCGGCATTATGTACTCCGGCCTAGAAGCATATATTTTCCGTGGCAAGACACCCTGGACCCTGAAGCACCATACTACAGATCACGATGCCACCAGGACTGCCTCCGAGTGCGAGAAGATCGAGTATCCCAAACCTGATGGGGTTATCAGTTTCGACATCCTAACAAGCGTTAGCCGCACAGGCACAAACCACGAGGAAGACCAACCGGTACATCTTCAAGTTAAGGACTGGGACAAGCACACGGAGGAATGTTATCCCAAATATCAAGGGGTCGAGAATAGGTTTTGCCCCGCCGGAGTCTATGAGTACGTTGAGGATCCAAGTAAAAAGTTGGGTGTGCGCTTCCAAATAAATGCGCAAAAGTAAGTCTTACAACAGCTCTCCCGGTCTCTACTATGCCCTGTAGTTTATTGATGGCGGTCACGGACAATTAACCCTCGTTTTTCCAGCTGTATCCATTGCAAAACCTGCGATATCAAGGTCCCGACTCAGGACATCAACTGGCAGACCCCTCAAGGTGGGGAGGGCCCTAAATATTATCTAACCTAGGAAACCACATTTCTTTTCCGGTTCATATGGTTACTTTTTCTTGTCCATTTCTGATTCAAAACTGTATGCAATGGTCATCACATTCTCGATAGAGGACTTGCTTGTTGGTTATGTGTAAATTATTATTCCCATTCCGCGTTTCATGTCTCCTTAGCCAACCATTACCCAAAATGTATTACTGTGTAGTTTGTACATACATACTGTTATATTATGGAGATGAATTTAGCCTTGCATCCGAACTCATCAACGGCAGGAGAAAGAAGGTCGAGACAAAATGTCAACCGCGTTGTTATTTTCTACAAAGATCCGTTTAGACTGAATCAGAACAAGACAGTCTCTTTCAACGGAAATATTTTTTTTTCCTTTTTCAAATCTCGGCATCTCCCCGCAAGGTCGTAAAACCCCACCGAACACGGGCAAGGCATGTACCGTACATACATCTACATGCCTTGTGGTGAAAAGTGAGGCAACCAGCGTCAGATTCTGCCGTTTGACCGCCTTTTGCAGCCTCGTTCCCAAACATCAACCAACTCATCGTTCTTTTCCAACCATCAATCAGCGTCTATCTTTCTGAAGCGCTTGGCTGTACTGACGTCTTCATTTCTGGAAAGGATAATTCCCACCTCGAACCGTTTTGCATAAGGCTGACCAGGCTGCCGAAAACCGCGTTGGTAATCTGGAGAGGACCACTCCAGTAAAAAACCCCCCGGCTTCGTCGTCCACGTTCTCTCGTTGTTGTCTTCTCTTCGCTGTTAATTATCCAGGGGATTTAACACACAACAACATTCAAAAAATCACACCACGCCTTTTACAGGATTCCTCTTTACCTTCTTTTCTTCTCATCTGCGATAACTGTGTTCTTAAGATACACCATCACACCAACTGCCCGTCATGACTGAAGTGTCGTCCACACGTCTTTATCTCGGGAATCTGCCCCGCAACGGTATGCTGGTCTTACTACTGCTACATCCTCCTTGATACTTAAGCACACCCAAAATCCACTGTATGGCGCTGGCACACACAAAGACACACTATATATATTCAGATACCCAACAGTAGGACAACCTCGTGTTCCCTTGGGATTTCTGGATTATCCTTGTTTGTGGAGGACTGTGACTACCACATGTGACACGATGTGAAAAGTAGAGGATATGCCAAGAATATTCAAAAAGTCCACTCCTCAAAAGGAGAAGAAATTCAGTTATATTCCACTCCCGTGGATTACACTACTGGCTTTCTCTTTACTGGATGGTTTAGCCTCGAAAAGCTGACTCAAAGGCGCCAATTTTGGCCTGGACTTTGTTTTTCCAGTCACCAAGCAGGAGATCGAAGATCATTTCAATTCCCACCACGGCTCCGGCAAGATTACGGAAATAAAGCTCATGAGCGGCTTTGGCTTTATCGAATATGAGGATGCTATGGATGCAAAGGACGTAGTACCAGGTACGTAACGGGATTTGGCGTTCATTGCGTGCATCCTCTTCCTTCCTTCTAATTCTTTGAATAACTTCAAAAGACTAATTCAATGCCGTTCTCTATAGCTTTCCGTATGTTTGTGATTCTTTTGAGTTTCCTTAACTTACTGACAGGGGCTTCCTTTTTTGACCACCCTGGCTTGTAGATGGTACGGACTTCAAGGGTGAACGTCTCACTGTCCAATTTGCCCGTGGACCCCGCCACAAAGAAACATTCTCTGGACCGTCGGACCGCTCGAGCGCCCCACGCCCGCGGCGGACAATCTATCGAATGCAGATATCTGGACTTCCAGAAACCAGTTGGCAGGTTAGCTCAGCTCCATTTGTTCCCGGACCCCGTTGGAGTTCTTCTGACTTGGACCCTCTCTTGCACCATTCTCTTCTTCTTCCCTCCCTTTATTATAAATGCGCAGGCTTGTCATGTAACTTGGCAAACACTGTAATTTATATGAAACTTGAAAACTTGATCAACATCATGGAACGCATGCAAAGTTGGATGTTCTCTTGCATCTATGCCGGGCTATTAATGCTCTTAAGCTGCTGAAATGGAGGATCCATCTTATTTCTTTCAATATGCTTCGTTGTAGTTGTCACTCACCCCAACAGCAAGCGGAGTTTCTCTGCTACCGTCAGATAGTTCTCCCGAACTGGAGCATATCTCTTTTTTCTGACCGGCTGGATTTCTCACGGGTCTATTCTTGCGCAGCTCTGTCTTGGAAGGAGCCTGGAATTTCACACCATTTGTCTGGAACAGGACTCACACATTCGCCTTGTTTAGGATCTCAAAGACTTCGCACGTCAGTCCGGCCTTGATGTAGTGTACTCGGAAACTGGCCACGATGGAAGAGGGTGAGTATTCTCGAGCTTCAGGTCCTTTAAACAAAATCTCCATATCTTTGGACCAGGATTACTGATATGGTGCGTGTGTGCGAATAAAAAAAGATTTGTTGAATTCGAAACAGGGAGCGACCTTAAAACTGCAGTTGAGAAACTAGACGGCCGTGAATTCAAAGGCTCCAGAGTCTTATGCACACAGGACGTAGGAAATCCCTTGGTTTTCCCCTCCCGGATGGCTTAGTTCTCATTTATCTACCAGATTCAATCACTGGAGGACCGTCAATCCCGTGACCCGTACCGCTCCCGTTCTCCTGGCCGACGAGGAGGTTATCATCCCTACGATGATTATGACAGACGCGGGGCTCCACGCGGCGGATACAGCCCGCGTAACCACTACCGCGAGCGCTCTCCTGGCCGTCGTGACTACTATGATCGCGATGGCTACGGACGCCGGACGCCGCCTCCACGCTCTCGAATGGATGACTACCCGCCTCCACCTCGCCGCCCCTATGATGATCCGTATGACCCACGTGGGCCTCCTCCCCCTCGTCACTATGATGACCCTTACGCCCCTAGGCCATATGGCCGCCCACGAAGCCCTCCACCAAGAGGTGATTATGGCTATGATCGCCGCCCATACTGGTAGAGAACTCTCATTTTCCTACCTTTTGATTTCCCCTACTCGTATCTATTTTTCCTGTGTGCGCGTCTCTATTGTACTCTGCTGCTGTAGGCGGAGGAGAGCCTTCAATTCCTCTTTGGCTCGAAAGGAAACCATGAAACTATTCCGCGTATGCAAACCTGATACTTATTACCCTAGAACGCACCTTTCCCTCTGATTCCCCACTGAGCGTGGTTTCTGAGCTATTATCGCCACTGCGCTGTTTCCAAAAAGTTGATTGACTCTTCCACGCTACTCGGAGGGGTGGTGTCATTGTAAGTACTACTGGACTTGACATCTTTCCAACATCCGATCTCTGGCTGGAATTCAACGTCACCTCTTGGTCTCATTCTGGAGATGGACAGAAGTCAATAAAGGGGCCTTACTGGTAGATACCGAGCTTTCCTCGTTTAAATTTCTCTTCTTGCTTGCTGCTTCATTCCCCCTTCCCGAGTTGCTTTCTTTGCCCATTTGTGTCTATCTTTGATTTGTGGTGTCCATCGTCTTTATATATGCTTCTCCTTTTTTTTTTTTTTTTTTTTTTTTTTTTTTGCACAATGTCCCACCTCAACAAGAACTTCTGATGATACTTACGAAATTTTTCATGGATGAAAGGCAAAAAGGGTTCAATGTATTTTTTTTTTACTGATGATCTTCCCAATTGTTGTTGTACTTTGCTGGCTCTTATCTGATAAAATTCCTTACTGCTTTTCTCCCATGACAATTGAGAGGGTGTAACAACGGCGAGCATCCATTCGATTGAACTATGTGTGGTGCGCTCTGTGTATTTTGTGCGCCGGAAGGGCGGGGAAACTCGGCGAGGAAATTGATCTGACGAACCCATTCTCAAAGGACAAAATATTTCGTATCATAATGTGGGCAAAAATCATCTGTTCTCTCCGTTTTTCATTAAATTGCCTCTTATGAGTTCAATTTGTTTTTATTTATTAGACACCACCGTTTTTTCCCCTCAGATGACATGTATATGTTATATATATTTTTCTTCCTTGTTATTCTTGTTTTTGAAAATGGAATAATAAAAAAAATTATTTGTCATTTATGGGAAGTGAAAATTGATGGGGAAAGGTTAAGCGTTTGATCTTCGATGAAACAATTGAAAGCCAAAGATGCCCTTCCATATGCGGAATTGACTTGTGGTTGCAAATGTGATAACTCTAATAAATGACAGTTGTAGCGTCCGCTCCATATGATATGCTCTGCAACCAACCAATACTAGGGTTGTTCTTTGTAGAAGCTTGGAACGTTCTTGGGAGAAGTTCCCCGCTTAACTACTAGTTACTGCTTATCGATAAGGTTACGAACAAACATCGGCAAATTTTATATCTGCCAACCACTCATCCAGCACTGCTTCGGTCACCAGCACCAAGTGAACGAGTTGGACGCCTGCTCGTTGCTTATATCGTCTGAATAAAAATGGCGCCACCGGGATTCGACACCGTCCTGCTTCGTGACATCGTCTTCCCATTCCCAATTAGTTTCGGGCCTGATGCGTGGGGTCGCATCGATAAGCCCCAACCAGCTACGCTATCACTTCGCTTTTCATATCCCCGACCTCTCATCGACCAATGTGGCAGCAGCGACGATGTTTCCTTTACCCTCAGTTACGGTGATCTATACCGCAAGCTTGAAGCCAAATTACGAGATGCCACAAAGGGTGAAGATGGCAGCATCTCGAGCGTTGGAGTAGAAGAATTAGTTTCCACTATCAGCCATACTGCTCTTGGGCTGGCATGGGAAACGATACCTGAGGGTACCGTAGAGCGCGCATTGGCTATGGTGGGCGCAGAAATTGATATCTCAATACATCTTCCTAAAGCTATCCTGGGAGCTAACAAGGGTCTGACATATCAAGCTGTCAATCGAGCCGTCAACCGGTCTGCGAGTCTAGTCGCCAATCGAGATGGACAACCGGGGATTGCTGCGGTTCAACGTATATGCCGCATTGATGGTTTACGCTGCAATTGTATCATCGGGGTGAATCCTCATGAGCGGGAAGCCAAACAGGCAGTCGTGGTTTCCCTTCAGTTTCCGAAGGTGAACGCAGAATTACATCCGCAGGTCAAATTTTTGCAGCCTTTGCTGGAGGTTACACGACGTATTACTGATGTGAGTCCATCTAATCTTCCCTTTGTATTGCTTCAATGTACTGGGGATATATCCACGGGAAGTGTTTTAGCTGACATGAACTTTATTATTCTGTGCTCATTAGGCCGTTGAAAACTCAAGCTTCAAAACAGTCGAAGCTATGGCTCAACTGGTCGCGAAAACGGCTATTCAAGGCACGAGGTTCGACGAGGTGACAGTCTGCGTCGAAAAGCCCAGCGCGATGGCCTTTGTGGGATACTCTGGCATAGAGATAACGCGCACGAGACGCGACCTTTTAACCAGCAATGATGGGCAAAGTTGAACAATAAACACGCGCTCTGGCTTGCTCGCCTAATAAATGGCTGCAGGGCACAGCAACTATTCACGCTACGGTAGATTGTATTCGCACAAACAATCCACGCTTTCGATATTATTTTAGCTCTTGCTCTTGAATTCGAGAGCAAGAAATCTTGCTTAGTGAAAGGTTCTGTCGCCCAAACTTTAAACTTTGCACCGGCCCAAAGCGGGTTAGCGCTCTACTTCGCCGCCCAAGCAATGAATTTCCAACTTCAAGCGTCGGCTTTCACCTGCCATTTTCCCTCTCCAGTCTACATTCTTCAGCTTCGCTACACAAAGGAATATCTATTACTCTGAGATTCGCTGGAAATAACCGCGATCATCTTCTCAAAAGAACCTCATATCCTGTTTTTTGCTTTATTATCTATGGGACTACGCAGCTCTAACAGCCTTCCGCTTTTCATTATCTCTGCTGGCACCGGGTGCACTTCGGGCCTCTTCTGCCTGCCTCCATTCGACTCTGCTTCCGTGGGCTGCGCAAACAGCTTCCCCAGCACCGTGCCAGGCCCAACTCCAGACAACGTGGTGTGGCTACCGGTGAATGGTCCGTCCTGAATAAGGGCGGACGGTAATCTGGTTATTCGCGCCATTGAGCGTAGCTTCTTTATTGTAACCGCTGTAGACATTTATTTCCGGCCAGAGGTAAGTTTTTGGAACCTATTCTATCTTAACGGTAGCCGTTGGCAAAAATGAGTGAATGAGTGCTTACTTTGCGAAGATATATCAAGGTTAAGAGAACACCGGCCGCCTATCGAGCTGAAATCTACCCCGCAACTTGTCCATGGTGATAACAGGGCTCTACTGGAACGCAAAACCATAACTATCTAAGACAAACCTTCATTCTACTTGATAGGGATGTTCGCGCCTAGCCCGCTGCGCCGCCCCCCCTTGGATTGCGAACCGAAAATTGTTTCGACCCTGCCAAATGGTGGTGATTCAAGATCAGCCAAGCCCTGGACAGCACAGGAAGAATTTACCGTCTCTGATGTTTTTGCTCCACAAATAGACGAAGATTTTGTCCATGCTGCTGAGAAGGCAGACGCACACAACGGGGTAGCGGAAGCTGAAGCAGTTCGAGGTAAATATTCTACGGGGTTTCGCTTATGCCCACCCGAGACTAGCCCCACCAGAAAGGCGACCCCTTCCCAGCCTAGTCGGAAGGAACTGGTTAGCGATACTGGAAACTTAGTGGTGGATGGTTTGGGCCACCGCGGGAAGAATAGACGGAAGAAGAAGTTGCAACGGTCTGCTGAAGTCCAAGCTGCCGCTACCACCGTCCGTGGATTTAATGCCAACGCATCCACCGACGATGAGTTTGATTATTCCAACCCCGGTTCGAAAAACCTTTCCCCATGGCTTCCACCGCGCGTCAATTGTGGGAATAGCCCTGGCCTTCGTCCATCTTCCTTAAATGGAGGGATCAGCACATTGAAACTCCAGCTGGATGCTCTCAGTTTGTCGAATAGTCGCCCCGCATCTTGCAGCACGAGTCATCTTGGTTCTCAGACCCCAAGCTGTGCCAGCGTCACTTCAGACAGCGACCAGACCACCAGCTATGAGGTTCCTTTGGAACATGACTTCGTTAGCCCTGATGCGGATGGCGCCCCTAGTGACGCTATGTCATTTGGCAACAAGGAGTGCTTGAAGAACGACCTATGTCGGAAGATGTCAGCCGTGGACTTTGAGCCTTTGTCGTGTCTTGGTAAAGGAACCTTTGGAACGGTTTTATTGGTTAGGCATTCTATGACGGGCATTCTCTATGCACAGAAACAATTTCGCAAGGCCTCTCTTACAGTACATAGGAAGCTGGTGGAACAAACCAAAACGGAACGAGCGATCTTGGAAAGCGTCAATCGCCATCCATTTGTTGTCAAGCTCTATTATGCCTTCCAGGACCATGAAAAACTTTATCTGATTCTGGAGTATGCACAAGGTGGTGAGCTTTTCACCCATTTGGCTATGGAGCGCATGTTCACCGAAGAAGTGGCTTCATTCTACATGGCTGAGCTGGTGCTGGCACTGGAACATCTCCACCAAAACGTTGGCGTCGTCTACCGTGACCTTAAACCAGAAAACTGCCTTTTGGACGCCGATGGCCACCTTCTCCTAACTGACTTCGGGCTGAGCAAAGTTGCCGTTGATGGTCAAGACCGATGCAACTCATCGCTGGGCACTGTCGAATATATGGCTCCTGAAGTCGTTCAAGGTAAGCCGTACGGCAAAGCCTGCGATTGGTGGTCTCTCGGAGCGCTGGCCTTCGACCTTCTTACTGGCTCCCCGCCCTTCAAGGCCAATAACCACGCCAAGATCCAAGAAAAAATCGTAAAGCAGAAACTCGTACTGCCATACTTCTTAGGCCCAGATGCAAAGGATCTCCTTACCCGCCTCCTGCGCAAGGAACCCCACAAGCGCCTCGGCTACAACATGCCTAAGGACCTCCAAACAATCAAGAAGCACCGCTTCTTCCGCAAGATCGACTGGAAGGCTCTTGAGAGACGTGAGCTCGAACCGCCCATCAAGCCCCTCATCACGGACCCGGCGCTAGCAGAGAATTTCTCGTCAGATTTCACTTGCCTACCCCTTAGCCCTGTTGTCACAAAAAGTGGTTTCCCTGATGCTTGTGATGGTGGGTTTGGGTGTATGGGCTCTGACGGTAACGCTACATATCGGGATATTAATCAGTCCGGGAAAGCGGTTGCGGATGACCCGTTTGGTGGGTTTAGCTTTGTGGCATCGAGTAGCTTGCTGGATAGCGGGCTGGGGAGGTAGATTAATTACTGCTGGGGTTTTGTCCGTTTTGGGTTCCTCTATTTTTTGTTGCTTTTGGGTTATTTCTGCTGTTCGGTTGTAGTTGATTTGATTTTATTCTGTAAGCGTGATTTGAGCAGAGGATCTCTCAGGAATCCGCATCTATAGAACATCTATGGACCATTTAATATATCGCTATCTTCATTTTTTCTACCAATTTCCGTTCATTGCAACCTTTTCTTTTTGACCATCGCGTGGGGTCATAACTTGTGTATCAAATTAGTATCCATATTGAAGACGTATTTATCTCTTGTGGATATTGCTAAGTGTTGTGTATTGTTGGCCGTTGCGGCCGTTGCGGCTATTGCGTGTGGCGATCTCCATAGATCACGTGACCAACCACTATGTTGGTGATTACTTACCATACGGGAAGAACATGTAGGCTACTGGGGCAAAAGAGCTCAATCACCACCAGCGCCTGCTGGTAGAAGGGCCGACCAACCGCGGGACCCCCAACAGAACATAGGGTTAATTTACAGTGATTACACCGTGGATCCACCATTCCACCTGTGTCATGTGTCGCCGATCATAACACATGTTCCATCATTATATTCAGTGACATGTTGCTGAATATTAAACATCAAGATAATGTTGAGACAGTGCAGAACTTTCTAACATTATTATGACATTACTCAGTAACTGTGTAATTGACAGATATTATTATCAAAATACTACTAAGATAGTTAGGTGGGTGCAGAATAGTGATGGTACTTGGCCGGCTCGCCGGTGGAAAGACGGACGTTTCTCGCGCCAAAAGTGGTCATTTTCGGCGTCATTTTCACAGGTCCTCATATTCTACTCCGTAGATGTAAACTAAAGCGATCCATTTCTTTTATCGTACAATCCATAAAGTACAAACCAAGACCTACTCCACTAAAGCAGGGTATATCTTCCGTGCAACGGAACGAGACAACAAACGTAGTGACTAATGAAAGGAAGTCTATATATAATATCATGGGGGAATATGATAAATGAAACCATTAAGCATGTAATGTGGATAACGAAGAAAGGGTATTTGCCTTATACTTTATAAAGAAACGCTGATGCTGATGCTGATGCTGATGCTGATGCTAGCGCCGGGTATGAGATAAATAGGTAAGGTGTAAAAATATTTGAGAGGAGGAACAGTTCAAGATGGCTAGATTCGTGTAAAGGAGATGCGGAAGGCGTGAATATCACACGATGGCCGTAGCGTTTGCTCAACACAAACTTCATTGGATCCTACCTAGGGCCTTTATCCTTGGTCACGGTTGATTTTAGGAGGTTTGCTATTTCCGACTTGCCCAAACTGGCCCCTGACGAAGAAGAATGAGTCTCTTCTTTTCCGTCCACTGCAGTGTCTCGTGCCACCTCGATCCAACAGTTGCGCAACTCCTCCAAAACATCCTCATTTTCCAACTTGAACAACGCAAAACGCCCCCTGACCCAGCCGAAGATATCTTGCCTATCCCCATAGACATAATTATTTGAATAATTCTCCCTAGCGTTGGACTCGGACATGTAAGCTTCACGGACCATTGCTCGCGCAATAATTCGTACCGTCTGCAACGACGGCTGGACGAACTTGGAATGCTGATCAAGATCCAACTGTGGATCAAGCACTCTTTGTCCTATCCCACGGAGTCGTTCAGGCGTTCGCGCTGTGGAGCGTAGCATCACGTTTCCACCTAGGTTGGTATTGGAGGGAGGTCCATCGATACACCAGAGGTGGTATAGCCGTTTACCCGCTTCGCTTCCACTCGTTTCCACGACGGCAGACAGGACTTGATTGAAGGCAGAGCTGGGGATGGTAATTGCGGGTGGCTGCCTAGATTTCCACTGCGGGTTTACCTTCTCGCCTATATCGGAAATGGTTCCTCCGATGGATTTGAACATTCTTAAGAATTGGAAAAGCAACGCCTCATGGTATTTTATGCCCCCTTCGGAATATCTAGGCATTGGGTTGAATTCACCTTGAAGCAACTTGGCTAGAATTTCCCCGGCTTTCATCAGACGGCTTGGCTGGTTTTGCTTGGGGTTTCCTTCTGGCCCGCCAGTGCTGCATACTTTATCTAGTCGTATTATTCCTGCTGCTAGAGAAGCAACTTCCTCGGACTCCCAGCTATCTCTACTGTTTTGAAGGTAGAGTAGAATTTCACTTATTCGGTCCCAGTCGTGGTACTGGATAGCATAGCCGAAAAACGCCTTTATAACAGGAGTTGGCCATGGAAGTGGTACGTCCTCCGCAACGTTACTAAGTAGCTTTGTGTTGTTTATAGCTGTTGCGTATCTAATGATCGCGGGCGCAAGGAGATCGTCCGAGTAACAAACTCGTGGAATAATTGCGCGTCCATCTTCACCAGGAAAAAGTAGTTGACGTGCAAAATCTTGCCCTCCTGACAGGATTGACACTGCTAGCAATTGTGAAAGAGACAAACTCGAGAATCGTGTTAAGGATGCTGCATTCCAACGTGCGATCGAAGACATCGCTTGTGGTGCTACTTGCGCGGTGCCTTCGCCTTCCAACAAATTCGTCTCAGGACTTTCAGTGGGCTCTGTAGAGAGTTGGTGTTCGACAACTGTCTTCGCTGAGTGGTTGCTAACGATGAGTTTGTCGAAAAGGCGATGAGCTCTGTAAACGTGTTCCGTATTGGCATATGATTCCAATACATAATGATATAGCCCTAAAACAACCCCAGACTTGTCAAGGGGGTGGGAACGGGTATTTGGTTGTAGTGACTCGTCAGGCACAATATTGGGAAGGTTTGAAGCAAGCTTCAACACATCTTCAAAAGATTTAGGGTCGACCTCCGGCACAACCCCTCGAGCTTCTATCATGCGAACGACGAGATGGTCAACGTCTCGCGGCCTTAAATAGATATTATTTTCTTTTAATAGCTGCATTAGAGACTCCACGTAATCAAGAATGGAGGTATAATAAACTCCTCGATGTCCGACGCCGACCTTGACGCTGTTATTAAGCCCATCCATCATTGAAGTGACCACCTCGCTGCTTATTGTCCGCCTGCCCAGGCCTACAAAAGGACCCTCCGACGCACTAACATCTGCACTTTTGGACCCACAGGCACAAGTAGCCCAGGTATCATATCGGTCGATTTTGGACGAAGTGATCGCATCTAAGTGGATGGAGTGGCTCGCAAAGCTCTCAACGAACCATCGGGATTTTTTAATTGCTAATTGTCTCAATATCCAGGAACCTTCAATATTGAACCCTCCTTCTACACAGCACCACAAGATAAATTCCAACCATATTTCGGGCCCAAGTGGTCGGACTTGTATTTTGTACTTGGTTGCTGCTGACACGTCTTTTCCAGTAGCTAAAGCAAACGCGGCCGTATCAACCTCATTGCCTATCCAAACAGCATCTGATAGAACGTTCATGATGTGGGATGATAAAAGATGCATGGCAGGGGTACCACGATTCAACTGTTCTGGAACGTGCGACTTAGTGTATTTGTATACTCCATGCGGGATGTAATCTAGGTGATGTAGGCGGGCAACAATCCGATAGAAATAAAACATTGCAGTTCGCGATTCCTCCGGCGGCAGATCAGCTGCCTCGAGCACTATGCTTCCCAAGGCGGGCCATAGTTCCTCCATCGTCCCAATTCGAGTGGATTTCTCTCCCATTCGGCTTGTAACACGCGGACCATCTGTGTGCGAATCAATCGAGTTCAACGATATCTGCCCTTCAATTTGCAGGATTCCGGGAGCCCGAAGCTTCGCACATTCATCACCCGTCATCGAGTCGAAGGACCCGAGACTTGCCCAATCGATGTTTGATGGGAGCGAACCCGTTCCTTGGCTTGAGAAAGGCTTTTCGGCTTCCTCGGCATTGTCAAGCAGTCTGTTGACTATCGCATGAACTGCGGGCCATTTACCGAGTTTGACACCTAGGTGTGCCAGCAGATCATAACCAAGGGAGTCCGGGCTCCGAGCGTGATCCAAAAGGTCTAGAAGAACCAGACATTTCTCCTGCTCCGGCTTTTCTTCCAGGTAATCGTCGTCTTTCGCATCCTCACGTAGTTCCGAAGGGATAAATTTTTCCAATTCTGAAATCCAGCGCAATGGGTTCTTCTTCTCCTCGGGCGGCACGGGCAACGGTCGCTCCTTGTTCCAACTTCGAACCAATAGGGTCGCTACGCTGTCCATGGAGGGAGGAGGGCCAAAATTTCGTGAACGGAAACCGACAAGTTTCCATGATGGGATAATCGCAGAGCCCGGAACAAGGCGAAGTCTATGGCCTAAATATCTTGCGCGGCCTGGGCGCAGGCAAGCCTGCATGACACGATCGAAACGTGGGGGAGCAGGTGAAGAGACCTATGAAGGAGCACGGGAGGAGATATTACGCTGATGAGGCGTTGCATATTTGACTTGGAAGATATTAGCATCCCAGTCCATCAAGATATTTTGCAATGGCGTTGCAAAGTGAGGGTTAACTTGCTCCAAATTGTTTAAAGTTAAAAGTTGAAGCTTTCAGACTTCATGCGCTTGAAAAAAAAGAAAGAAAAAAACGGCTTGAAGAGCTTAGTCAGCCATTAGAAATCCGAGATTCCATTCCATTGGAATGAAAATCTGAAATCTTTGAATATATTTACTACAGGAAGAGCATGGTACACGTCAAGGTAAACCCTAAGTAATCTGTCCATCAAGAAGTATGCCACAAGAAGATGCATTCCATACTCCCAACAAAGCACCAGTTCCGATAAGAAAACTCCCCAAAGTCTTAGTTCAAAACAAAATATACCACCATAAAACATGGCTCCAATGCTATCATGATTCGTAAACCAATTGTACCAATGCCGTCCATAGTTTACCTACATATCCTCGTCATTGGAAGCCTCCCGCTCCCCTTCGCCGTCACCTCCAAGTTCTTGCTCAACTTCATCCACAACGAAGCTTTCATAATCCTCGAGGCTCTTCTGAATGTGCACCTTGAAGCGGATAACGTCGTTCAACATCGTTTCGACCCCGGTATGGAGCTCCTCACGGAGAGCATTCGCCCGAAGAACTAGTTGCTCATATTCGATGGTGGTATTCATCTCTCGCTGCTCCATCAGCTGAACGCTTTCGGTCAGAGTAGCTCGCATTTTCGCAAGCTCCTTTTCCATTTTTTCAATTTGGGAGTCAGAAGTCAACTTTTGGGTTGTCGTAATTTCCTTAAGGCTCTCAAATTCCTCTTCTGCTGCGCGTCGTTTGTGTTCAAGGGCCTCCACTTCACTCCTTTTCTCATCCATGGCCTCCTTGATATTATCCAGGAGGTCCCGGTGATTCATATCCGCATCTAGAGCAAGTTTGCGTCGTTCATTAATTTCTTTCCGTAGAGCGATGAAGTTGCTACGAACAAGGCCACGGAGGTCGAGGTTCAAGAGGTTCGTTGGATGATATCCGGTGAAAGTGTCGGCAAGCAAACGATCGCCTTCTGGCGAGGTCCGAGAAGTCCCCAGCTGGGATGAAGAAAAGTTATTTTCATTCAGATTTAGGTGAAGCTCGTAGTCCTGGCCCTTGGCGTTCGCCGCTGTTGCTGGGATCAGGCTAGTTTGATAGCCAAGAGTGTTAAAGGTTTTGACAATTTGCTCTAGGGATTCAAGCCTTTTATTAGCTTCGGCCTCCTTTTCCATAACCCGAGCATGAGTGTCTTCAAGTTGAACAAGGATATCCTCTACGCTTTTCTGAAGTCGTTCTCGCTCGGAATTCATGCGATCGATATCCTGAGTTGTAATCCCCTGCTTATCCACGCTATTTTGCAGGTCCATGCGTTCTTCATCAGCCTTCTGAAACTCCTCCTCGGTCCTGCTTATCTCCTCGTCAAGAAACTTGATGCGATTTTCGTACTTGGTGATCTTCCCTTGGACATTCTGATTGTAGTCCTCGAATTTTCTCTTATCATCCTCCAAAATCCTGAAATGTTTCTCCAATTTTGCCATATCCGGCGCATTCTTCTCCATTTCCTCGATTTGATCCCGCAGTTCCCTATTTTCTGCTTCAAGCTCCTGCATTTCCTGAACATATTTTTCATTTCCCCGCTCGAAGTCTGCTGCCATTGCTTCAATATGGGGAATAAGGCGTCTTTCCGCCACCTCATCATCTTCATTCTCACCTCCCTGAAGCCAGTCGCGATAGGCATTGGACAGGAAATGAAAGATAATATTATCGCCAGAGATGTCGACACCAGCTTCCGCGCATGCACTGTCGTAGTGTCCCAAGTAATACCGATCAAGCATCTGTGCTAGTTGCATTATCCAGTGAAGCATGCCTAGGAAAGTCGACCAGTTCTGACCACCAACAGCCGCAATTTGGGACTTTGTGATGCTCTTCTCAAATGGGTAACGCAGTTGTTTGAGGATAGGAGGAACTTCGGCATCAATATTTTTCTGAAATTTATAACCTGGATCGATTCTGCGATAAAGCCACTGGAAAATGTAATTGAAATCTTTCTGAGTCGGGGATTTCAGCGTGTTTTGCGTTAAGGAGTGCTTCATCTCTAGCTCAAAATTATTTTGCGTCAGATATTCTAACAGTTCTTGTCCAATTCGCGCCTGGAAAGCTCTGTCTTTGAGCGGGCGTGGGTCTCTAGGAACACCAGCAGGAGCAGGAGCTTGGGTGAAGAATGACTGGTGATGGCTCATTGGGCCACCTATTGACTGGCGCGAGAAAACACTGCTTCGCCGTTGTAGCTGCGGAGGGGGAACTGGATGGGAGGACACAGGTGCATAGCTTTGACGGCCAACGCTGGCGCTGTGAAAGATGTTGCTTGAAACAGACCGTCGGACAGATGAGAGCCCGTTGTCAGCTCCAGATGAAGACCTCTGGAAAACTGGCTGTTGTGGTCGGCCAAAGCCTTGGCCGCCGATGGAAGTTGTGCGCACATGGTGAGACGTGTATGGTGGATTTTGGAAGTTGGCGGCGGAACTCGTTCGTTTAAGTGCAGAGGCAGGTTGAGGGATTGAGGATAGGTTCTGGACATTCGCAAGGGTCTGCGCCAAAGACTGCGTTAGTACACATCAACTTATTTGCCGCTTATTACTTAGCAAAATAATTCATAGATGTACCTCTCGAGGCCGCCGGATACTGAACAGCCCAGTGTCTTGCGACATAGCGTCTGCTCCGGTGAGTTCACCGCGCGCCTGTGCAGGTCACTGAGCGTAATCCAAAAACGATATTAATTGAACGTGCAATTTTATGTCAAGTAAATGCCATCAGATGGCCAAGTCGTCAGCTCTTAAACAACAAACGCAGGTTTTATATCGTAGGTGTCGTCGCGTTTTGCCAGTTGGGATGTATTGCGAAGTAAACAAACCATTTCAATCTTGGCGCTGCCCTCTAGTCGGAAAAATATGTCTCCGTAATCAGCTATCACGAGACTCCGGGCAGCTCCAGCCTCGGCTTTTGCCTTCTCGGCATGGGGTTGTCGCGAAAAGACCTCCCGAGTCTTCCTGCTCCCCTAGACTTTCACGTCTCCATCAACTAATAGACACAGAGATGAAGAAATGATGATCGCTGGATGGGAGTACAACAACATATTTTGGTTAAGAACAGGCTGCGAACATTTTGCCGGTTTCGTTGTGGACCCTTTGCGCTGGTGATACCTTCAGGTCGGGCTGCAAGTGAAAGGTGTAGGCAATCATGGCTCTTCGCGAGGAACTTGTTTCCTCTGCGGTATGTGTGCTTCCCATGCTTTGTGTCATTGTACATTTACTCACTGACAATATTCTGCTCTAGGTTTCATGTACGTTGTTTGATATACGATCCTCAAGGCTTTCAAGAGTCGATAGCTAACAGGCAATTTAATGCACATAGTCCTCCAAGACCCATCGGTTTCCTCTGCACCCTTGGACAAAAAGATTGCTTTCCTACAATCAAAAAATTTAACACAAGAAGAGATCGACCAAGCACTCTCGAGAGTAGGCGAGGATTCGTCTGCGGCTGTTGCTCAGAATCCACCCCCAAGCACTGCAGTTCAGCAATCCAATTACCGACCACGGCCTCCGCAATATGGTCAAAATTATGCATACGGACCCGGGGGTCAATGGCAGCCTATACCGCCTCCTCCAGAGTAAGTTGCATTTCTACATACTCTGTTTTCAGTTTTCGATGTGCTACAGCTGATCCCCTCCGTAGATTGCCGAAACGGGATTGGCGAGATTGGTTTATTATGGCTACTGTGATGGGTGGCGTTGGATACGGCTTATATGCTGTTGCTAAAGTAAGGGGTTTTCTTGTTCTTGGTCCGTGAACACTGTAAACCTAACACCAAAATCACAGCGTTATATCACACCACTTATCTCCCCTCCCACCCCTCCTCAACTACAACAAGACAAAGAGAGCATTGACGAGCAGTTCTCTCGTGCTTTTGCTCTCCTCGATCAGCTGTCAAGCGACACAGCAACCCTAAAGGCAACGGAAGACGCACGAACCGAGCGCCTCGATACTGCACTTCGCGAAGTGGAAAATGTGATTTCAGATTTAAAAACTTCTTCACGACGGCGGGATGAGGACACCCGACGTATTGGGGAGGAAGTAAAGAGTTTAAAAGACAGCATACCCAAAGCCATCGATGGCGCAAAGGAAGGAAACGAAAAGAGACTCAAGGAACTGGGTAACGAGCTGAGAAGTTTGAAAGTCCTTCTCGGAAATCGACTTAGCTCGGCATCCAGCAGCGTCCCAGCAGTTTCTTCTACGCCACGGCCCACCTCCACCATCCCTCAACCAAGTCAAGATACATCCGTAAATCGCCCCAACGGGACAGCTCCTCCATCACAAACTGCCACACCTGCTCCTGTATCCACCCCCGCACCACAACATGTGCCAACTCCTACACCCAGAGAGAATTCCAGCAGCCCATTTTCACAACTTGGAAAGCCTGCAAGCATCCCTGCATGGCAGATGGCCGCTGCCAATAAATCCAAGAATGCTACGGTGGAGAACGCAAGCTCCAGCGATGACCAGCAGGCAAATGCTCCTGCTAGCTAAGCGATGTATGTTTTTAGATAAGATATCAATTTTCTGAGGCGGATATAAATGTCAAACACTGATTCAGTCCAAAACATATTCAGCCGGTTGCCATTGGAATGGTCCCTTTTTCTTTAAATGCGTTTTATGTACTCTATTGCTAGGGCAATTTGTGTTAGTTTTAGCTGGGATTAGCTGGAGCAAGCCCATTTAATCTTATTATTAAATTATACTACGCTTCTCGTATCATATTTCTCATTTGTAGCTATAATTATATAGAGTGGTAATTCGGAAACTTGCCCTGTGCAGTTATGTTATGGAAGTTCCCATAACCATTTTAGCTTGGGATCCAGACTCGGCGTCTTGGCATCAAGTTGCAACTTTCCAACCTCCAAAGTTTCCACTACCTGCGCGATCACCACCACCCCAGATATACAACAGTAAACACCACCATCACAGCCACCATGGATGCATCCAGACACCATCGGGATGAATATTGGAGCTACAGATCTCGATCGCGCTCACTATCACGCTCGCGACCGGTATACTCCTCACACTCCCCTCCCCCCCAGCATTCTCGACGTCGCGATCACCATCGCCGCCACCGCCGTGCCAGCGATGACAGAGACGCACGGTCCCGTTCCCCAGAAAGAAGAAACAGGAAGCACAGCAGGCGAGAACAAGAAAGACGGGCAGTGGCAGCACCAGTCACCCTCCCCTTCGATGCCAGGCCGCTATCCAAGCACGACTTGCAGCTTCTTGAGCCCATGTTCGCGCTGTATCTGGATATACAGAAGAACATTGATATAACGGATCTGGATAAGCGGGAGGTAAAGGGCAGGTGGAAGAGTTTTATGGGGAAATGGTAAGGCGACTGGTTTCCCCTGCCTCTCATCATTCGTGTCCCATCGTTCGTGATTTACTTTTATCCTTTCATTCTCTTTTGTTGGGTGGTGGGAGTGTTGTAAAGCCCTAGCCTTAAAAGAGCAACTTGGTACTGACACATCTGAGGAACCGTGGAGAACTCGCCGAGGGCTGGTACGATCCGAGCACGTTCCAAAAGGCACAGCAAGACAGCGCGGCCGGAAATTACCAGCGTGTCTCTTCGCCTGGAGCCCGGGCTTCCCCGGATTATGGAGAACGTTACGCAAAACCTGGTAGGAAGGATACAAGTGAAACCCGGCGGGAGCGCTCAACCAGCAGTGTCATATCATTAGACCGAAGATCCAAAGACACAGAAGAAAACGAAGACGAAGACGAAGACGAGGAAGAAGAATCATACGGCCCCAAGCCCCCAACACCTGACTCCTCACTTGCCATCGCCAGAAGTAGCGGGGCAGATCAAAAATCTGGCCCGACAATCCCAAGCTTCCAAGACCTACAACTACAACGAGGTTCGCTTCCCTTTCCCTTTTCAATTTTAAAATCCACCCGAATCCTTCCTGGCGCACCCTCCCAAATGTTTAAATAACCCACACCCAAACTAACCCCCATACAAACAGAATCCGAAAAACAATCTCAAACAACCACTTTCATAACACAGCGCAAGGAAACCTCCCTCGCCCGGGCCGCCCACAAGGCTCAAATACGCTCTGCAGAGGAAGAAATCGCCCCGCGCGCTGAACCCGGCACTCGCGAGCGGCGCTTGGAAAAGAAGCGCGAGACCGCCGCTGCCAATCGTGCTTTTGCAGAGTCGAAGACGGGCGGTGACGATGATGGTATAGTAGGGGATGACGAGCTGATGGGCGGTGGCGGTGCAGGTGGAGACGATCTTGCGGCACTGAAGAAGCAGAGGGAGAAGGAGATGCGAAAGAAGAATGAGAGGGAGATTCGGCGGGAGGAATTGTTGAGGGCGCGGGCGGCGGAAAGGGAGGAGAGGTTGAAAGCGTACAGGAGGCGGGAAGAGGAGACAATGAGTGTGCTGAAGGCGTTGGCCAAGCAAAGATTTGGCTGAGGAGTCTATACCCAACTATCAGCAGGTAAATGAGCAGCGAGCTTTCAAGATGTTAATTTATAACCCGATTTTATCTATGTTATATAGGCTATGAGGCTATTCTTGATAACAACCTAAGTAATATATCCCTTCAACGCCTAACCTCCCTGAAAGCCATTACACCGAGCATCGAACCTCGAGACCCCGCGCTGGGAAAGCAATATGTATATATGTACAGGGAATTTCATAAAATTCAAGTGTAACATCAAGTCGTCATTACCGAGGCTTTTAAAAGACTCTCTATCTTTTTTTTCCAATCATTTTTGATCATCTCGAATTTTACGTTGTCGAAACAAGTTTCTCCTGCCTGATCCGATGTGTATTGCTAAGTTCGAATATATTTCGAGCCGTGTGACGGGTGCTATCTCGCCTTCAATCAGGAAGAAGAGCCAGTACCACGGGTATTAGCCTTGTTGGCTTCCTGTCTGCGGTTTTCATTGTTGCTCCAGTTATGGTAACGGCGACGACGACGTTGATTAGTAGCCCTTGACTGGCCTTTATGCTGAGTGGGTGGTACCGCAGTTTCCAAATCAAGCAAAGGGTTACTTCCGTCGACGGTTTGGCTTGTGTTCTTGCCAATATCGGTAGGTTCACTCTTTGTCATTTCCCGACGCCGTTGAAAATCTCTTTGCAGCACAACAACAGAGCCTGATATAGCTTCAGCGGTTTCCTGTCGATCACCTCCCTGTCCCATCGTCATCGTCATTTTTGTGGATAATGACTTGACTCCTTTGTCTCCGCCCTCCATTGAATCGAGCTCAGGATCGTTAACTACAGGAGGGACGTTTTCCTTAGAAGCACTGAAAAGGTCGCCGTCACCATTACCCTTCCCTCCAACGTTACTTGGTCGATAAGTTTCCCCGTTAATATGGCCATTATTGGAAAAGTTATGGGTGATGCTAGTTGGTTGAGGATGCGTTACTGGTAGTGCTCTTGCGACGGAGGCTTGATAAGCTCGGGGAACAAACTCGGGGGCGTCTGGCTTCCAAATCTTTTTCGAGATGGGATTTCTTGTGGAAACACCACTCGAGCAGTTGGGGTTGGTCTGGCTCAACGGTCCAAGGACTTGCTCGTGGATCATGTCTAAGGGCTGATCGCCCCAGTTCCCACTGCTTGCTGTGGCTTCCGGTGAGATGGCGGCAGCATCAGAATCGTCCCGGACTAATGGGCTTCCTCTACTATCCAAAGCGTCGATAGGAAATTCAGCCCCACGCTGCATAGGAATACCACATCCGCCTTGGAAAGTCCACAGTCGGTAGTAATGACCCTTCTGGTTCAGGAGATCTGTGTGGTTTCCTTCCTCGACAATTTGGCCATCCTCAA